CGAAATTGTATATGTCAGAAAATATTTCAAAAATGTTTGTGTGGCTGTCTATTTGTTCTTGCTAAGGCTTAGTAACAAGCTCGTTACATCCCTGATGATTCAGGTGTCCATAGGTACGGTAATCGTTTACCATCAGATGAGCCGTATGACAAATAGCCACCATAATTGTCTAAAAAAATCTCTGAAACGGCTAATGTGATTGTGACGGAATTTTCACTCGCAGATAGCTAATGTTATAAGGAGTAAGGTTTTTTCAATTGGTGATAATGGAATGGTGCCCGCCTGTGCTGCCGGTATACGCTAGCAGGGCACCTTGGAGGATGAAGGAGGGTGACCATGAACGCAGGTCAATTATCCCATCGTAACAAATTCACCAGAATTTCCAGAAGGAACCGCGTGGAGGTCAACTTGTACATTGCTAGCAATGGGGTCAACAACACCAGTCCACATTACTAACAATCTCCTTTTCATATTCATAAGGAGTAAATTAGGCTATTTTCATTTTAGACATTTCGCAGACAAAGTCACCGGTAAGAGCTTGTTGATGAATAGCATAGCATAGATATAGATGTTTATTTATCCCATCCCCAATTTCAATACTTAAAAATACAACTATCTAATTGAAGTAAGATAGAAGAGTAACCTAACTTACGGCTTAAAACATTAACTATCAGCGACTGAAAATTCCGTCATAATCAGATCAGCCGTCAGACGTAAGCGCGCGGTCGCGCTCACTCTTTTCTAAATCGAGTACGTAGTAAATTGTATAACATGGTTGAAATCCTTGAGTGTACTCTAGATAACAAGTTATCTACCACCTACCACTAAATAGTATATTGATATTGCTCGACAATTTCACTTTATCTCGCGTTACAATTGACAATGATTACGGTTCAAATATACCTACCTGTTTTTAATGACTGTTCTCTTTTTGATTTTTTTTTAATTGATGATAATCGATTGAAGGTGAATGCACGTTTTTTTTTATACCACGTAGGTGGCAAACAAGCATACGGCCCATGTTATGGTAAACGGTTACCGTAGTCTATGGACGCCTGGAACACCAGAGGTATCACGTGCGCGTTGCCGACCTTTAAGAAACCTTAATATACCCTTCTTGAAAAACCCCATGCTGTAGTCTCTCGTGAAAACCTCGGCAGGTAGTTCATTCCACAATCTTAAGTTCACAGTTTTATGTGTACGCGGGAGGAAGGTATGTGGGTGCGAGGTGGTGCAGATGCAACTGTATATGTAATCTATCTCAAGTCCATCACTTTATCAATAGAAATTTATAGCCTATATGTTATTCTAATGTATAAGCTATATTACTGTAAAGTTTCATCAAAAGCCGATCAGTAATTTGCATTGGGGGAGAGGGGATTGTTAGTAATGGGGAATAGTGACTCCATTCCTAGCAATGTCGTGTCAGGTTCATCTCCACGCGGTCCCTCTTAGTAACCAAACTTTTTTTTATGGATGATAATGAAATGGTGTTCCCACCTGCGCTAACGGTTTACGCCGAGCAGCAGTGGAGGATAATGAGATGAACATAAGGTCAGGAGAGTTTTTTTTTAATATTAATATTTGAGAGCGTTTGACCGCATCAGTTAGCCCATCGTGATAAATTTACGAAGAATTTATCACGATGGTTTCCAGGGGGAACCGCGGGAGGTCAACCTGACATGGTAAATTGCTAGCAATAAGATCAGTCCACAATACTACCATCCCCTTAACCCCATGGTAACCATAGTTAATTCCTAGTGTATAGTCCAAGATGCGCTGAATGACCTGACCTCATACTCATCTTTTCATCAGCCTCTGGTGCCCCACTAGGGTATACCGTTAGCGCAGACGGTTGCGCCACTGTACCATTCTATTATCACCATTATAAAAATATTGTTGTATATGTACATACAACCATACAAATGTAATAATTTTATCAACATAATTTGCAGGCCACCATAAAATTTCGACGCGATAACAACTGGTCTAATTTATTTACAATGCACGATATTATATGTATGTTATGTTACCGAGTTCTATTTCAAAAGCAATGAATATATGCATAATTCAATATTTATACATATAAATAATATTGGAGTGTCTGCTTGTAATATTGAAAGAACGTGGATATATGAAATAAAAGGAAGTATGAAAGTGGCACCGGTGTCAGAGAGGTTGAAGAGTAATCGTCTATCATGGTATGGACATGTAATGCGTAGGAATAAGGATAATATTTTAAGGAAGGTTTTACATATGAATGTGGATGGTTATAAGGGCAGAGGAAGGCCGTGTAACGTAAATGCCGTAAATAACGTGATGACTGCGAACAGGATGAATGGAAGAGAGAAACATATTACGCCGACCACAAATAAATGGGATAAGGAAGAAGCAGATGATGATGTTTGTAATATTGAAATAACAATAGTAGTTTTTTACTACGTGCATATTAATATAAATACGGTATATACACTAAAATAACATTTTTAATCATTTCTGAAAAGGCTGGACCGATTTTGATGGGATTTTTTGGCAGGTAGCTGATATAATAATAAGTATCTTAGGCTACTTTTATTTAAAAAAAAAATTTGACAAAAAAAGTCAAATTCCACATGGACGAAATCGCGTATACAGGTAGTATATAATAAAATATAACTGATCCCTGTATATATATATACATATATATATATATATATATGTCTGTACATATATGATATATGAGAATAAAATTTTATAATTATTGGATGCCTTTATTTACAAACATAATAGAACCCAAAATAATTATTGTTAGAAGTTTTGTTTATTTGTCTGTCTCTATAACTAATGTATCCTGGAAATCTTCACTTAAAATTCTCTGTTATTTTTTTCCAATCAGTCTACAAACAAAACAGTTATAATGGCACCAAATACTTAAGTGAAGGAATATATATCAAATTTTTCTTACAATAAGATTTAAATATATTCTGATGGTCTCAGTAATGTAGTGGTTAAACACATTGCCTTAATTCCGAAGGTCTCAGGTTCAATTCCTAGTATGGTACAAACATTAGTATTCGGAAATATAAGTGTTTGTATTGTATCAGTTTAGCACTTCACTTTACTTCTAAAGGTATTGGGTTCAATTCCTAGCATGGTACAAACATTACTATTTGGGAGTATATGTATTTGGATTGGTATGGTTGTTTTCTAATTATTATATTTAGGAAAAAAATATTCCTATCAGTTGTGTACACATTTAACTCAAGAGGGCTCTGAATAAAGTACAAAATGACATACAAAAAAAGGGTAACAAAATAATATAAATAGTAATTATAAAAAGAATAAGGAGCAAGCTGCCAGCAACAATAATATTGGTATAGTAAATTATGATAAATTTTATCATAGTTATATATATAGTGATTTGGAAAAATACAGATGTTCAACTACATACTATCAACTAATATGCTCTGAAACTTGTTTATCTATATAGATTTTATTATATAGATATTAGCTGTAGTTTGCTCTTAGACTTATAAATAAGTAACCCACCCACACAACTTCCTCTGCATCAACTAAGACAATGGATATTCTTGTAAAAAATATATTTTCCCTAATACTATAACATTTTTCATAGATGCTCCACTCCTATTGGTTGTAGTGTAATGTTATATAGCCTATAGCTTTTCTTGATAAATGGGTAATTCAACCCAAAATTTTCCATCCGAATTGTTAGCCCCTTAGATCAATATGTACAAAGAAACAAACGTTACATTTATAATATTAATTTAGATAAATTATAACTATTAATGAGTGTGTGTGAGTGTACTTAGTTCTTCATGCACGGGATCTTCATTTAATGTTAGACATAGACACCTATATAAATATACATACATTGTAAATTAACTGGCTTTTAAAAAAAAAAGTAATTCAATTGAGTCTCTTGCCAGTTTTCTCAATTGGATAGAGATATACTACAACTACAACTATAACTGGATGGTAGGGAAATAAAATTATAATATAAAAAAATTTATGTTCATAAGCGGCTAAAATGTCCTACATAAATAATTGTTATTTAATTTAAATTGAATTTGAACTTGACTATTTAATAATAACACCTTAAAAAGTATGAATTAAGGTAATATTCTAACGTAACATTATTACCTGTGGTCTGATACATAGACTGAAGTACAAACAGCATGGATGCTATAATTTGTAGTCTAATTAAATAACCATATATGCTGACTTGTGGCCAACATTGACTCTGTTTCTTAATGTGTAAATTGTTGTTTGTATTTCTACTATTGCTTTATAAAATTTACTCATATTTCCATACAATTGTAGAAAGATACTATGACTGGAGCGAACACAACTACTATTTTATTAATAATCAAATAATAGTTATAAACATGTACCTTTCCCAAAAGGGCTCACAGAGAAGAGATAACTACAGTCAAAAGTGATATATAAAAAACAGATATCAAAAATACAAAGTTTAAAGAATGGTAGACAAGCTGTCAGTAACAGATACAAGCAGGCATAGATCATATAATTTGAAGTATAATTAAATAAATATTCTTTTATAAAACTTCCTTGTATTTCTATAGGATTCTAGAAAGATACAAGGCAATATAATAATAAAATTGTCATTTTTCCTTTAATAAATTCTTGTGTCAGAAATAGAGAATTTAATTGATCTATGTACTATAGATTTGAGTGTCTTTTACTGTTTAGTTGATATTTTTAGCTCCTCTTCAGAAGTTGATTATACATATATATATAATTTTTGTTACAATAAAAGGGCCGTATCAATAAAAAATAGACCATAATATTATAATTTATATTATAAATTTTGTTACCTAACATGTAAGTGGACAAAAAATAATTTATTTTTATATATAACAGCAAGTAATTTGACATAAATTAATATTAACAAAATTACCAAATAAAAACACAGATTTATCTACCTAATTTAAGTCAATAAATTAATTAAAATAGTTCATAAGAAAATATGAATTACTTACCTCAGATAACAAAGGAGCTCTGTCTAAATGTTCTGAAGATGCAAAAGCTGACTCGAAATACGCGCCCCGACTCCTAGACTCGTACCTGGAGCCTCCATCATCCCACATTCTGGCTTCAAGTTCATCAGACATTCTGGCGCCTAGACTAGCACTCGCGAAAATTAAAATTTTCTCACTACACAGCACATAACTGCGAAGTCACAAAAACTGCCAGATACTCGCAAGTTCAATATGTAAATACATATATCAGCGTTATATCATAATTATATATACAATAGGAGTTTGTGTGATATCACTAGAACGGTAAATAAAACGAGACGAGACGAGATAAAATATTTTCTCGATAAGCGAAAAGGAACTAAACTGAGTGCGTTCAGATTCTGAATCTAAATATTTTCTTGTCGCTTGTTGAGTAAGAAATTTGATATAATTGAAATAAATTAAATAATGCATAGATATAATAGTTACTTTTAACTTTAAAAAAGTTAAGCATAGTAGTAAAGATTTAAATTTTTATTAATTAAACTTTAAAATAAAAATGTGAAAAACAATAGTGTAATAAAAAGTTTATATTTCAAAACGACTGATTACAAGTATGTCAATTTTGACATTATTATTGACAGATGTTGACATTGAAGTACACAGACGTTGGCTGTATGGGCGCAGTTCCCTTTGCCTTTCCTTTAAAGCATAAACAGAACCAAAAAAAAAGTATACAGATGTTCTAAGACACATTAGGGTACATTCTATTATTTTTTATGTATGGACGCATTCTTATTATATTACAGGAAATGGGATGTGTTTTTTTATGTAATTACAATGACAAATAAGCTGATGGTCTACTTGAAGGTAACCTTAGCACATGAACAGCACTACGGACATGCGACACTCGTGATACCACTCACGCGTTGCCGTTACAGAGACTAATAAAAATTTTATTTACGTCGTAGATGTCAAGCCTTTTACCATTATTTCACTTGCAAAGTAAGTCGTTTGGTGATTGAAAAAGGTGAGACTGAACTAGGCAAATCCTGTTGCGTGATGCTTAGCCGGCTGGACTTGATGCCTGACGCTTGGTGCTTTGCTAAGCTAGTAAGCTTTATGCAAGTATTTGCTAGTGTAGGGAGTTCTGCAATCAAGTTTAGATGGTTATGGTTCATACATTTGTCATACCATAGTTTTGGTAGGTGGTACACACATAATAATGGACGCAGATTTACGTGGACTAGAACAATTTTAGGGTCTACAGTAAAAGCAATTATTGTAGACATCAGAGAAGTAATAGTGGTACTTCTTCTTTTCGATTAAATCGGTACATTGGAAGAACTAAACACGAAAAATAGTCGTCGAAGTTCTCTCAAGAAGAACTAAATAAGAACGCAAAATGAAACGAACACAACTCATACTTCAATATAATTTATTAATCCTTTCCATAATAACTAATATTAAAAATTACCAATTAAATTACTCGATCACAAAAAATAACAATTATATTACAAGAAACAACATCGCATTTGGAATGATAAATAAATAACTTATAGGACGTATTTCTTATAACATGTCAACAACCATTTTAAATGTTCTTAATTACTGGACACGATAATGGCAACACTAATCAAAAATGTTTTACATAACCTTTACATAGTCGGTATGTTTTTTAAATCACTTTAAGTAATAGTTACATTTTATGGCCAGAACCATATATTAACTACATATATATGATATATCTAGTACAGAACATAATATTTAATCACAATTGGTGTCTTTACTTAACGTATATTAGCAATTATAATTGTCAACAATCGACAATTTAAGTCGTATGCGATGTTGCCATTCGAAATATTAATAAATTCCAGCGCAATGTTATTTCTATAAAAAAAACCATGCCCTCGTTTCGTCGCTAGCTTTCTGAACATAGCATACAATACAAGAGTGTTTTGTCTTCTTTTGACGTGCTACTTGTTTTAGTATTTACCAGTTATCATCTATTAAGTTATTTCTATGAGCATATAGTTACAAACAACTTAAGCACATTGCCTCGTAACCTGCGCAATAAAAATAACACAGGATCATCTACAACATATGTTAATTTGACTATGGTTCTGGTAAAATTGTTTGTAACTATAAAATGATACTGGCTGAATTTGAGTGTTGCCATAATACATTTTCATAAAAGAAGAAATTTTATTGTAATCATAACACGGGACAATCCGCACAGCGCCATCTAGTCCCAAATTTAACACAGATCGTGTTAGGGGTGCTAGACAACTGCTATAAACACTTAAATATAAGTTTTTTTTATAAATACATACATAGAAAACACCCAGATCGAAACAGACAATCATACTCAATAATACAAATGTTTACACCGTGTGAGGTATCGAACCCGGGGCTATCTGAAATATAGCGGTGTGCTACTGAGGCCGTCAGAAATTAAACCACTTGTATTAATTTATATGTTATGAAAACGTTCTAATAACATTGTCATTGTCTTTGGTTTTCGTCATAAACTGAAATGAACCGGGGGTTTCCAGTCGAGTATTTAACAGATAACACAGTGAAAACAGATAACAAATAAATACCGTTAACCACCACCACTTGAACCACGTTCATAACAATATTTTATGATGTGTGCGGTGCTGAACATGTATATACGAGATGGCTACCACTATATATACGAGATGGCTACCACTTTCCATCATGTGGGTCTTATTCAGTATTGCAATTATATAAAAAAAAGTTCAAACAAAATTATTACAGTCATCATAATGTGTAATCCCATTATTTGGGGTTGGCGTAGTAAAGTTATTATTGTATTGCAATATAAATAATATTAAAAAAAAAAATTAAATAAATCTCTTGATGTAAATTTAAAAATAAACAAAACCTGCCTAAAATTGCACATAATGAAAATTCAACAAAACAAATATCTTATACCAATAGATATAAAGTCTAATATTGTATGTAGATTGTACAGAAATAAAATAAAAGTGAACACAAAATCGTATCTCCATGGCTTGTTAAGATCATAAAAACATGCAAAAATACACTTTATGTAGAACTCATAGAGTCTAATTCAACAAGAAAGACAAAACACTCATGTCTGTGTATGGACGTATCTTATTCAATCAGTTCATAATACAACCACAGTATGGAATATAATTATTTGTTCGAATTTCAACCAATACCCTAACTAATAGAGCTCATAATGGAATGATAACTTGTTTGTACCAAAGACATTTACAATTTTGTTTCTTCCCCCTCTTCTTCTGTATTCGAATAGATCGGCATTTTGAATAATCGATTAAAATCGGTGGCAAATCGTATAAGCTATTCTATTTCGTAAAAACAATATTATTTGTATCTTCATACACATTTGTACATAGGAAGCATATCGTGAAGCGTATAAAGCAGTATGCACAAAATACCTTGGCAATGATTAGTTGTTAAAAAAAATACAAAAATATATTCGTGTAAATCTTATTAGACAGCAAGTTTATCGCATTTTGAACTTTACTACGTTTAAGATTAGATACATATGTTTAAGAATGACAGATGACAATTCGTGCATAGCATCTCTCTTACGAGAATTGCAGAATATTGTGTTTTAAGAAATTTATTACAAAAAAAATGAATATGTGAACAAAGATCCGATATGTGAAAACAGAGATCGATCCTTACATAAGGATCGCGTCAAATTAAATAAATATATGAACTATTTAAATAAAGTATTTTCTTTAAGATATACCCAATTTTTTACATAAATAAACATATTGAAAGTTATCAAAACAATGGCCCACTTATTTTGTATTCCATTGACTTATGGCGTTGCAATTGAGGCGAGCTTGTGTGGACTGTAGTGTAGGTTACCCGAGTATTCTCTAAACGGTATATCCAATTTATTGCATAAATAAACATATTGAAAGTTGTAAAAAAAATAACCCAATTATTTTGTATCCCATAAATTTGTGGTATTGCAATTGAGGCGTTTTGGTGTGAACTATACAGGATGTGGTGTAGTATACCATGTTCAGCTACACGATTACTACGAGCGGCAGGTCGGAGATCATAAAGACGTCTGAGGCGCGCGCGCAGCCGCCAGCTCGCCGCGGTCCAGGCGTGGCCAGTCCACGAACTCTTTGCCGTGCCTGCAAACAAACATATATACATATTTTTAATGGATGATAATGGAATGATGCACCCGTCTGCACTAACGGTTTACGCAGGAAGGGAGGAGGATATCCACTAGTGAGTGGAGAATGAAGTCAGGTCAATTAGGCTATCTTGGGAAAGAGAAATTTACCACGCTAATCGCCAGTTTTTCTCCGGACTACTCTAATGCTGTTGGCCGCAGCTGGCCTTTACGGCTTCACAGGACAATACAAATGGCACTTCAAACCGCATAAGAACTTATGGAGCGTTTGAAGGTCAACTCTCGCCTGACAGATACGACATTAGTTTGAGGGCACCGCTAGGGCTTCGAAGCTTGGCTCAGGCCGTCGTAATTTCGATCCCCGATTGAATTGGGTGGGGGATCGATCATAAGGATAAAGTGTGGATATGAGTATACTGACTTGAATATGAAGGAGAGCGTGGCCCCGACGGCGGCTCCCCAGAACATGAGGTAGAGCAGCACCTCGCTGGAGTACCGCGCCGGCAGCGTCGCGCTCGCGCAGAACATCGACACGGCCACCAGCAGCACGGACGGGAACTGTACGCACCCACACACATACATATATAGTCAGATTATTATCAATAGTGTTAGTTACAAGTTCTTAAGTTTAATGAAATGAAATAATTCATTTGTGAAATATTGGTACAGCAGATAAAATGTTACTTAAAATATTATTGATCAGAAATATTTACCATAATAGGCATGCAAATTATATGAAAGTATTCGTTTTAGTCAAATATTCTTGGACACTATAATGCTATTCAGCCGCTTCCCCTGCCACTCGCGCTGCTGGAAATATTGCCGGCCGACAACTGAGCGAGAGGGCTGAATGTAAAAACACGCTACCGATTACGCTGCCAGTCCTTTGACTCGCGCACGAAAAGCCGACAATCGAGAGAGCGCCGGGCAGCGCGAGTGGCAGCGCCAATGGCATGGGAAGTGTTTACACTCTCGCGCTGCTCACTTCCGTGCTCACTTCCCTGCCCACTCGGGCTGAGTGTAAATATGACTATCAAATGACAGACAATTTTTCATTTTGCTTTTAAACAATTTATGAATATGCTGATGTTATATGCAGTAATTTGACTGTATAATTTGCACCCTAGCAGAGGTGGATTATGGGGCTCTGGGATAAAACTACTTAGGGGCCTACCTAATTATATTATTAAACTAAAAAAATACACCGACCAAAAACAACTGACGGGGAATCTTACGTTTTCCATAGACGTGCACATGCATGTATTAATTGACCTCAGCCAACCTTATGATATTTTTGATATACGTTTTTAATTTTAAATATCACCAATTAATGAAAGTGATGTAGGACGTGAACTCAACAAACTTACTACTTATTGTTCAATAGTGACAGAATGTAGTACACGAAAAAACAAATTTAAAATTGTCTATTGTTTTCAGGGGGGGCTGGGGGCCCTTTTTATCTACGGGACCCTGGACTGCAGCCTAAAAAGCCCCTAGGTCCCTGCACCCTACAACCGAAACACTACAAAGCAAGTTGCTTGTCGTATAAAAAAGGTGAGACTGACTCACTCTGACGATATTCTCCTATCTCTAGTAGGATGAGATAGTCTATTATCTTCTTATCAAGTTTGAGTAGGACAAAAAATATGACTCACAGTAATATATTTCCAGTCTCTATCCCTGCGCAGAGGACACGGAACTGTGTTACCTTCGCCTTCAGCTACCACGTACTTGCCCAATATCAGATCGATGGAATCCTATAAAAGAATACATGAATTAATACACCATAGTTCATTTGACGGTTTTTTTGTACATTTAGGTGGTCTAGCAGCATCATAATACTGATGAAGGTCTTGATCCATCTAATCATAAGGAAGCATATTTAATCAAAGCCCCGCACTGTACCTGCAAATACTAGCTATTGATGGCATCGGTGGTCAACCGGTTTACCAGGGGGGAAATGGGATTGTTAGTAATGTTAGTATTGAACCCATTACTAGCAATGTACCATGTCAGGTTGACCTCCACGCGGTTCCCCCTGGAAACCATAGTGATAAATTCTTGGTGAATTTGTCACGATGGGCTAACTGACCTGACCTCATGCTCATCTTATCGCTCTCCACTGGTGCCCGGCCAGCGTAAACCGTTAGCGCAGGCGGGTGCACCATTCCATTATCATCTACAAAAAAAAACCGGTTTACCACTGAGGGGGAAAAGGGGATTGTTAGTAATGTGAACTGATGGTCTTATTGCTAACAATGTACCATATCATGTTGACCTCCACGCGGTTCTCCCTGGAAACCATTGTGATAAATTTTGGTGAATTTGTCACGATGGGCTAACTGATCTCATGCTCATCTTGTCATCCCCCACTGGTGTTCCGCCAGCGTAAACCGTTAGCGCAGGCGGGAGCACCATTTCATAATCATGAACATAAAAAAACCGGTTTACCACTGTCTTAATTCCGATGATCGCAGGTTCGATTCCTCGCACAATAAAGCACTTCATCGTCGTTCTCTTACGCTACTTGCGGCGAGGCCGCCGAGGGCAGCGTTCTGTTAGACCTGCAGTCTTCACCACTACTACGGTACTAAAAAGCAGGGATGTTATGGATATGAAATTTCGGATACGGATGCGGATATGAAATTATTTCGGATTATCCGTTACTTTCGGATAATTTCGGTTACGTATAATATTTTTTTAAGGAATTACAAAAGTAAAATACAAACAGCTAATAAAATGGTTACATTACGTGTCTAAATTAGGCTCCGCCCCTATTCGATATTGTCCGAAACTTTTATTTCGGATTCGGTTACGGTTACGGATATTTTTTATATCCGATAGTTTCGGTTACGGTTACGGATCTCCTTAACATCCCTGCTAATAAATGACTAAATATAGTGTTACCTGTCTGAAGCCGTCACTGAAGTTGTTCTTGTAATATCTGGTGAGCGAGTTCACTCCATCCCTCGCAAGGCCTACATGCGTACGTTTGCCGGTGCGAGTGAAATCTGTCTTGAGAGCGCCGGTACCGGAGTACTGAGTGGAGATCATGTCTGCATGGTCCGCCCATACCTGAACAAATACTGGACAATTAACACAGCATCATCTAGTCCCACAGTAAGGAGAGTTTGTGTTATGGGTATGACAACTGACACAAATAGACACTTTTTTTTTGTAAATACATACCATTATATATATAGAAAAGACCCCAATCAATATAAACAAACATACTAATGATTGCTTAGCAATAAGACCGCCTTTTGTATCAGTCAATGTATATTTTCTATTTTAATTGTTTTTGTTTTGTTCTGTAATTTTTGTTTTTGTGGTCCAATAAGGAGTATAAATAAATAAATACAAATGCTTGCACCGAGCGAGGTATTGAACTTGCAACCATTATAATACAGCTTGTTTCGCCCTTATTATAAGTAAGGCGAAACAAACATACCTAAATCTAATGCAAGAAAAGAAATATTACGCACTAAAATACACTTACATTATTGAAGAGCGTGTCAAGATGTGGATGCACGGAGTTGGCAGTGGTTACTGCTAGCAGCTGCAGCGCTGCATTCAGCTGCAGCCGCGCGAGCAGCGACTGCACCACGTTGGTGCGGTCGAGGCAGTCGATGCAGTTGGTGCGGAATAGACCGCTCTGACGCAGCAGCACGGTGCCACCGCGGGACAAGAAGTACCCGAATTCCGTCTGTTGAAGATAATTATCTGAATTAATATATCATTGAAAATTATACATTCTACTTCTAAAGACGTCATTTTAGCTAAGTGCGAGTGAGACAGCGTCCTCACGTCTCTTTTACTCAGCTACCTGAGGGGCGCTATTATGATTACCGTTGCACTTGTAATTACTATCTGAGAGTAAATTTTTTAATGCCATATGAAATAATTTTATTTCGTTTTTGACGAAATTTAATGTTATATTTAAGTCCTCCCATTTTAATATAATTATTTTTTTGACATGAAACTCTTGCCGTAACCGGCACAAATAATAAGTTCATATAGTAGACAAGTTTTTGAAATAGGTTTCTAAGTATTTTGTTATATGATTTTTTAGAGTTAAACTCCCCTACAGAAATAGTAAGAAATCATCTAAATAATACTTTTATTTCGATGATTTCTGACTACGTACGTACTACGTACCTGCTCGTGCGCAATGCGGTCTATAAGCACGTTTAGTCTATGGTACCGCATGCCGCGGCACTCCGCGTGGAAGTCGAACGGTTCGTACCGCACGCCGGGGAGCGCCGCCGCCGCTACTGCAGCGCGGTATCCGTGCTCTAACGCCTCTTCGCTACCTCGCTGGTCGATCTGCAATAGCATCAAAGTAATCTTATACTTATTGTAGGCGTTGTCTCTCCCAGTAAGGGTGGCTCCATCCAAAGCGATCCGAGGTGGAGTGGCGCATGGGCGCCTCAGATCGCCGCAAGGGCCTGAGATGTGACCACGGGGGTGGTTGCGTCTCCAAGAAAAGCCCGAGAAGGTGGCGCGCGTACCTTCTCAAGAGAGGTGGGGTGGACCCCCAAAATAAAAGCGAAGGGGCTCGCAAACTAAAGCGGGCCGACGCCGCAGGAGTTGCGGTGGACTGACATTCGATCCCGCGACTCCGGCTATAGCCGCTTCGTCGGGATACCTTGGAGTTTTTAGTGAGTAGGAGACTCACAGTACCCGCTTGCCTCCCCCGGGGCGGGCGGGTCTCCATGAGGGCTTTTCTCCAAGAATAAAAAAAAAACGGGTTGTCTCTACTCTAATTGATAATGCTCCTGATGATATAATTGTTGTTGATGATCTATTGGGATGATAAAATAAAAGATACGTTCCGTTGTAAGCGCATACTAATTTTATTATATTAAGTAAAATGATACATACTACGTAAGTAATTTATGTATTTTATATATGACTATCTCGCCCCGGCTTCTCACAGGTATACATGTATTATATATACAAATCTTCCTCTTGAATCACTCTATCTATTAAAAAAACCGCTTTAACGTCCATTGCGGAGTTTTAAAGATTTAAGCATACATAAGGACGGACAGACAGCGACAGCGACTTAGTTTTATACTAAGTATGTAATTATTACAGTACGATGTTCCGTACACTTATTCTTGCGAACATATTCGAATCCTCATTATTTTTACATATTAGTGGACGCAATGTTCTCTAAATTCGGCCATAATAAAAAATACAAAAATCTTTGAACCAACAAGAACAAACATATATTTTAACATTACACAAAATAGTATATATGCCTGTGATTGTCCAATATATGGTAGTAGTGTGTGTAATACATTTTTTAAGCATACTTTTAATAAAATATTATTATTATTCTGCACTCCTTCTCTATATAAACTACTAGATGTGCCTGCGACTTCGTCTGCGTAAATTGTCGATACTTCCATATAACCTTTCTTCTGTCCTTTCAACCCTTTTTTTCGGATTAAAAAGTAGCCTATGTGCTTTCTCAGGTTCTAGACTATATGTGAACCAAATTTCATTTAAATCGGTTAAGTAGTTTTGGCGTGAAAGCGAGACAGACAGATAGACAGAGTTACTTTCGCATTGATAATTTAGTAAGGATAAGTGTGCGTAATTTCATACTCCTTCTTCTACGTAAATTTCGTAGAAAAGAGTATAAGATTTTTACTTCGCGTAAGATAATAAAAATGAGACGACGTGTAAATTGTGTTTTTTTTTTAAATTTATGATAATTGAATGGTGTGAGCACTCGCAATAATATATAGCGATCCCGCCGCTATGACACCGCGAAGTAAAAACTAAAATTAAATATATCAAAACTAAAAGTAGGCAAATCGCTTCAGCCGTTTTAGAGTTTTAGCGAAACTAACGAATAGCAATTCACTTTTATATATATAAATAAAATATATATCTCAATTGTATTGTCTATATATTAATATGTCAAGTAACAACTATATATATATGGCTTGTTCAAAAATTATCACAACAGAATATTTGTGTACCTTTAAACCAATTCTATATACTTGCTACCGTATTACCTCGTTATCTATTAATACATTAATGATTACATTATCTGATGAACTTAAGAAACGGCAACGGCACACCTGCCCGGTAATAGTAAATAATAAACATAATCATTATTATATTATATATAGCATAAAGTAAAGTAGCTGTCACTGTCTGTCCGTCCCTATGTTTACTTAAATCTTTAAAACTACGCAACGGATTTTGAAGCGGTTTTTTATATAAATAGAGAGATTTAAGTGAAAGGTTGATATATATAATATATATGATATATACAGTACACCCGTGCGGCGAGTAGCTAGTTAAAAACTAAATTAATAAAAAATAGACTTTAAAGTTACAACTTAAAAATCTCATTTTCTAAGCTTTTTTTGGAGTTAACGCACTTTATTAATAAATTGGCTAGTCGCTTAGGTAAAAGAAAGTACATACCAAGTTAACCAGCACCTGGTTTCCATATCTTTGATGTTGGTCCCTTAGGTGCTTGGTGTAGGCTGCCACGTGATCTTCATGGGAGAGCGTCACCCGGGGCTTATACTTCAAGTCTGGGTACTGACTCCAGTATAAAGGAATTGAGCCACGGGTCTGCACGAATGAAGACTTCTCTCCACCCCGTTCAATGATTTGTTCCGTTTCTACATAGTTCGCCACATTGCCCTTATAATAAGAAAAAAATATAATTATAATAACTTTAGAAGACTTTAACAAGGTCTTTTAAGGTATCCGTGTGTGAAGGAGCCTTAACACCTTCACGTGTAATACTAAAGGGTGGAAAACTTTGACAAGATCTCTTAAGGTATCCGTGTGTGAAGTAACCTTAACACCTTCATGTGTTATACTAAAGGGTGGAAAACTTTGACAAGATCTCTTAAGGTATCCGTGTGTGAAGTAACCTTAACACCTTCATGTGTTATACTAAAGGGTGGAAAACTTTGACAAGATCTCTTAAGGTATCCGTGTGTGAAGTAACCTTAACACCCTCATGTGTTATACTAAAGGGTGGAAAACTTTGACAAGATCTCTTAAGGTATCCGTGTGTGAAGTAACCTTAACACCTTCATGTGTTATACTAAAGGGTGGAAAACTTTGACAAGATCTCTTAAGGTATCCGTGTGTGAAGTAACCTTAACACCTTCATGTGTTATACTAAAGGGTGGAAAACTTTGACAAGATCGCTTAAGGTATCCGTGTGTGAAGTAACCTTAACATCTTCATGTGTTATACTAAAGGGTGGAAAACTTTGACAAGATCTCTTAAGGTATCCGTGTGTGAAGTAACCTTAACACCTTCGTGTGTTATACTAAAGGGTGGAAAACTTTGACAAGATCTCTTAAGGTATCCGTGTGTGAAGTAACCTTAACACCTTCATGTGTTATACTAAAGGGTGGAAAACTTTGACAAGATCGCTTAAGGTATCCGTGTGTGAAGTAACCTTAACACCTTCATGTGTTATACTAAAGGGTGGAAAACTTTGACAAGATCGCTTAAGGTATCCGTGTGTGAAGTAACCTTAACACCTTCATGTGTTATACTAAAGGGTGGAAAACTTTAACAAGATCTCTTAAGTTATCCGTGTGTGAAGGAGCCTTAACACATCCGTGAGAAATACTAAAAGGTAGAAGACTTTCATATAGTCTCTTAAGGTATCAACGTGTGAAGGACCCATAAAACCGTCGTGTGTAATACTAAAATGTAGAATATTAACAAGCCAGTAAAAAGAAAAGAAAAAAGACAAAAGACAGGGTACCAAATCAGTATATTTTGTACATACCTGAGTATCAACACCCCTCATGTAAAACCGTGTACCAGCACGATGCACGCAGCGGCGAGACACCAACGACCACGTCAGCTGGTGACCATTCACCGTCACGTTGTTTATTGACACGACTGTTTACCGTTTAAGGATTTATCATACTATTAACCATAATATAAACACAGTATCCAATATCTTTGCTCTATTATTTATATTATTACCTGTGTCTTAACACGAACAGTTTTGTACCAAACTACATGGTCCTAATCAAATTCTTGTAATGATTGTAATATGTTTTGTTTGCTATTAAATAAATAAATAAAAAATAAATATTTGTTATTGTGAAGTGTATCTTAGTATACGCATAATACTCAAGGAACGAGAGACCGACTGGCCTCCGGGAAAACATCGAGTAATTCTTTGCAGTTAGTTTACAATATCAGTTATATATAATAACTACTAGCCCCGGCTTCGTCCGGGTGTACATATATTATATATAACCTTCCTCTAGATCACTATATTTATTTAAAAAAAACGCTTCAAAATCCGTTGCGTAGTTTTAAAGATTTAAGCATACATAGGGACGGGCAGACAACGACAGCGACATTGTTTTATACTATGTAATGAAAAGGATACATCCTTCTATGATAGGTAACGCGAACCTCGCAAACTGGTCGTGTGAGAAATCTTTTAGTAAGTGGCCATTCCACAGGAACCTCGAGTCCGCACGTGACGCCAGCGACATCTGTTCGACAAATAATAAAAATAAAAAATAACCATTTCCACAGCACCATCTAGTTCCAAATTAAGCACATCTTGAGTAATGGTTACTAAACAATTGATATAAATATTTAAATACATAATATACACAGATCAAAATCTTAAACCAATACAAACAATCATACTTATGAATACATATGGTAGTACCGTGCTAGGAATCGAACCCGCGATCATCGGAAGTATGGCGGTGTACTAGACCGCTAAACCGAGGCCTCTAATAATGAATAATGATATATTTACCTTGTGAAAGTCAGCTGCTACCGAATGCAAACGCTGCAGCGTGTGTGTGAGATCATACCCATACGAGAAGTATATGCCGGGTGTCTCCAGCGCCGCACGCAGCATCCGTTCATATGTATTGTTGTCTTCAATCTAGTAGACATAAAAAAAATAATCTGTGCTGTTGTATAAAATGTATAGTAATGTATATATAAAATGTATATATGTATATTATCTTCCTAAGTGGGCATATTAGGAGACTGTAAAGCTCACTTAGTATGACATAAAGAAATAAATAAAAAAATACTGGTAAGAGGCCTGGGGAATTGCGTAGACTTCTTAGAGCATTGTGTGGAGGGGTGAGACTATATGTGCTTGGGGAATTGCGTAGACTTCTTAGGGCATTGTGTGGAGGGGTGAGACTATATGTGCTTGATTTCTTAAGGCATTATGTGTAGGGATGGAACTATATTTGCCTGGAGACTTGCGTGGACTTCTTCAGACCTTCAAGTGTAGCGTAACTGCCCCATACCTTCTTGATTGCCAGAACCCCGTCCGGAACGAAGTTATTTACGGCATAAGGCGGAAAAGAGATTGTTGTGAGAGAATAATGTGGACCTGATGCCACAATGGGCTAACTAACCTGATCTTATCATCCTCTGGTGCCGCCAGCGTAAACCGTTAGCCCAGGCGGGTACACCATTACATTATCATCCAATAAACATTTCTGACCTCTTAATCTTATCTTTCTCTGGCGCTCCGGCAGCGTAAACCATTAATGCAGGTGTACCATTATATCATCATCCATTAAAAAAAATAGAATCGAACCTGTTTACTAGTGAGATGCGTGGTGGACCGTGCGTATGGGATGATGTCAGTGCCCGCCAATTGAAAGATATCATGGCCATTCAGTCTTCCAGCCTGCAAGTAGATCATATTAGCACCATATACACATTTTGTAATTGAACGACCTCCGTAGTGCAGTGGTAACCGTATAGAAATGAGGTCACGGGTACAATCCTTAATTCGGAAACTATTGTTGTTCCAATTTGTATTTGGTTTAGTAGTTGTTGTTATAATATAGAGGATATATATAGAAATATGCTTTTAATTACCATTAAATCTTTTTATATTGTAACAGAAGTACCGAAGACTACTTCGAACATACAATCTCTTTATAATATTATTTGATTTTACCCGCGCCTTGTCTGGGTGGAACTTAACTCCTTTTTATTAAATAAATTAAATAGGAGTGTGTGTTTGTTTTTTACTAAATGCATATGAATATAAATACGGTACATACACCAAAATAACATTTTTTACAAATTTGTAACGGTACTTTTTCTACCAGGTAGCTGATGTAATAAGGAGTAACTTAGTTTATTATTTTAATTTTAGAAAAAAATCTTCTATTTTAGAATAATAAAGTTAAATTCCACGCGGAAGAAGTCGCGGGTACAGCTAATTTCATTAATAATATTAATTTATTCGCTACATTCAACACAAACAACAAGAATAATTGAGAATAAATTATTATAATCATCAACAGCCAATAATTATAAATTACTCATATTTATTTATTAATATATTCATTACATACTTTTTTCAGTTTTATATTTGTATTCATTATGATTTCTCTGTAGATTTCGACACGAAAGATATTATCTGTACAGAAAAGAACCTTTTCTTTTATTTATTTTTCTCGAAAATGTAAGAACAAGGCCGAGGCTCCCGCATTGGTAAGATAATCATGGACTATTAATTAAAAATAAGACACCATTGCTCACACAATTTTTAATTTATATTATAATAATACTATTTTAAGTTCATTGTACAATGTTCTCGTGCAGCCAAAAACCGTACCAGGTGGAGACAAATTGTAAGGAGCTCTTTCGCCAAGGACCACAACGATACCATATCACAAAATATACCATCATGAAAGCCACGACCACTCTGCCAAGAGTGAACGACTGAAGAAGAAGAATTGTAAGTTATTAGTGCAATAATTATTAATATTCAATTGCCTATTATATTATTATATTCATGTACTATTTTAAGTCACAAGTGAAATAATTTTCGGACTCGACATACATCCTCCTGCCCGGCAATAGCAAAAAAAAGCAGCACCATTTATAGAGTCTAACCACATTTTCAAATCATTAAGGAAGACATTACATCATCAACTATGATCTAACCTATCATCTACTATGATCTAGAAAACTGATATATATAATACAATGCAATACTTAACAATGGGTAAAAGGTTTAAAAATTACTAAACTTACCTAGTCTAACTGTATTTTCAAACCATTTAGCAACTCATTACATCATCTACTATGATCTAGCCGTTTAGAAGTGAGGCTATAAATATAGAAGACTAATACATATAATCCAATACGTGAAAATTGATAAAAGGTTAAAAAAATACTCTGTATACATCCACACCAATATCTACAAACACACGTTAATACAAATATTTGCATCATGCGACAATAGAACCCGCGACTATAGGCAAACCACAAGACTACAAAGACCGTCGAATGTTCTCACAATATCAATTGCTATCCAAAGATACATAAATTTGTTCTCATCCATGTTTGTGAGGAGAAATGTATTATTGTAATTATTATAAATATATATGTTTTACACTTACCAATATTCTATACTTTGCTACAACTAAATATAGTCCAGATATTAATTTGATAGAGCCAAGGAATCCACACACAGGTTTATACGCATTGGGCGGTATAGGGATCTTTACTGTGCCATATGCTGAAGAACAAAAAAAATATACATTATAAAACAAATTAATATTACAATATTTTTACACTAGTAGCCTGCATGGAATTTCGTCTATATTCCTTGCGAGCTATCTATATTTCTTGCGGGCTGTCTATATTCCTTGCGGGCTATCTACTTGTTACTATCCGATACTTTTTGACTAAGATATCATATAGATGATATCTTAGTCAAAAAGTATCTCTATATTTATACATACAAAATATACTTATTTATCTCGTCAGTTATCAAGTTAATTTTAGGTTCTTGTATTTTTTTTCGACGTTATCAGTGTTATCATTGACTAAGCCTATCTATAAATTAAATCCCATGTATTTTCATTTTGCAATTATAATTAATGACCCCGAAAACGTTCTTTTGCAATATAAATTAAAATCGCTATTAAAAAATAGGGGTTGATAGTAGAAGTGTAAAAATTTAGGGTTGGATGTATTTTTTAATGCCACACTATAAAAAAATTATCACAAAATAAAATAAAATTTTAAGGCAGCACAACCCTTATCACTTAGGGGTATGAAAAATAGATAGTAGCCGATTCTTAAACTTCTAGTCTTTGTCTACAATTACATGCACATTCATGCGTGATAGCCTAGTCGCGGGTTTTTTCGGACTACTCTAATGCTGTTGACCGTGGATAGACTTTACAGCTCACCGGACGATAGGGGGCGATTGCAGATGGCACTCCAAACCCGCGGAAGGACTTATAGAGCGGCTGAAGACCAACTCCCGTATGATGAATACGATAAATGCGTGAGAGAGCGTATGTAAAGATAACTATAATTATATAGTATAAAAAACAATCATCATTAAGCGGAGCGCGAAGTGATCTTAGAGTTCAGATCTGCACTCTGTAACGATACTCCTCCGAAATGGATTGACCGATCGAGAGTAAAATGTGATCGAAGGTCCTTTGGTCCTCCATCGTTTACCACTAAAAAAAATCCAATCAGTCAAATGACATAACCTTGAGGAATTGTCCGTGATAAATGTTCTTATAGACTGAAACATGGCGCGAAAATTTACGCGCTACTGAAAATCTTTTAAGAATAAACGCGCTCTGCTCAACATGTGATCTGGTGTGTAAACACATCGTAACAAACTTAGTTATATAAAATACCTTTGACGGATGCTTCCCCCGTCACTCGGTCTATGATCATAATCTCTGTTGGATTAATGGTGGGCTCAAAATAGAATTTATCTGAGGTTGTATATCTGAAAAAAAAAACAAAATTATACAACATCAACATAGCAGTACATTACAGTCAACTCAGTAAACATATTGTTAGTAAATATCCTTATTAAGATTATAAATGCAAATGTAACACTGTCTATCTGTCGCGCTTTCAGGGCAAAACTACAGAGCTGATTTCAATAAAATTCAATCAAATTTGTACACAGATAGTCTAGACATAGATATTACAGGTCCAAAAAGGGGAGAATAAGAGTTAATACAGCAAAGTCAACTTGTATTACATTTACACTCAAGAAGGGAGTCTGCCCACGGGTACTTACATCAGCTACCTGCCAAAAAAAATCCCGTCAAAATCGGTCCAGCCATTTTGGAAATTAGACGGAACAAACAGACCGACAGACAAAAATTATAAAAATGTTATTTTGGTGTATGTCCCGTATTTATGTTCATATGCATGTAGTAAAAAACGTTTATTTCAATATTTCAAACAGACACTCCAATTTTATTTATATGTATAGATGTAACTGACTATACCTAGATATTGCATGAGTCATCAACAGCTCATAAAAATGGTCGTTAAGGAAGTAGGTAACTCCTTATTTACATTCTTATAAATAGGCACTAGTAGCCAAACATTCATAGTATACATTAATCTACTGATAACAAAATAATGTATTTGATAACAATTTATTTCTGAATAATATCTAGATCTAGAACTGTGTTTACCAACATTTTTAGCCTTTCTAAAATTCTTTACAATTATTTATTTTATATATATAATATATAACTCAAAGAGGTGTTTATATAATACATATATATGTATATTTATTATATATTTTATTTAAAGAAATTTAACAAAACACAGTAAGTAAATTTTTAAAACATGAAATGAAAAATAGGATTTGGACATTAAATTTTTATTTACAGTGATTACTACTGATAACAAGATAATCTATTTTATAACAATTTATTTCTGAATAATATTTAGATCTAGAACTATGTTTCCCAAAACTTTTTAGCCTTTCCAAAATTCTTATGCTCCAAGTAACATACATAATTTATAACATTAAATAATGAATTGTACATTTATGAAACTTAAATAAACGTTTTTACGAAGAAATTAATAGGAAATCGTTAATGAAACTCAGTAAGTAAATTTTCAAAACATGTAAGGAACAATTAAATTTCACAACTTAATCTTATCAATATTATAAACACAAGTTTGTGAGTATGGATGGATGTTTGTTACTCAACTAAATTTTCACCTAGAGAATGTAACTGTATGTCCTTCATACAGGTCATTATAATGACCTAGTAAGGACAGCAGTGACATAATGTTATGTTGAGACTTATATATTGTAATAATAATAATAATAATAATCTCAGGACAATTCACACAGCGCCATCTAGTCCCAAGTTAAGCTAGCTAAAGCTTGTGTTATGGATACTAGACAACTGATACAAATACATAGATATATTTTTTTTCGTAAATACATACATATTATACATAGAAAACACCCAGACCAATACAAACAATCATACTCATGATTACAAATTTTTATCGTCAAGTCAAGTCATGTTGTATCAGTTTCTTCTTTTTGAGGAATCGTCAACCAAGTCATATTGACTTCTTTTTTAATAAACGGACTTATAAAATGTGTATGTGTGTATATCTGTAAATGTTTGTTACTCTTTCACGCAAAAACCTATGGAATGGATTTTTATGAAACTACAGTAATATAGCTTATACATCAGGATAACACACGCTATAAATCTCATACAGGTGAAACCGCGGACACAACTAGTAAAATTATAATCGCGAAAGTTTGTGAGTATAGATGAATGTTTGTTACTCTTTCACACAAAAACTAGTGTAAAGTTTCATCAAAATCGGACTGTATTTTGATGAAACTTTTTTGCATTCATCAACTATTTGTTTAATTGTAATATTAGTGAATTGTAATTAATTAATTACTATATTGGATACAATAAAATCAATAAAACTTTATAATAATATAGCTTATTAGCTGTCATCACTTATTTTGTATTCATCACCTATTTGTCCAGCATAATAATGTATATGAAGAAACAATAATATTAGTAGAATTGTAATTAATTAATTACTATATTGGATACAATAAAATCGGATTTTGATAAAACTTTATAATAATATAGCTTACTAGCTGTCATCACTTATTTTGCATTCATCACCTATTTGTCCAGCATAATAATGTATATGAAGAAACAATAATATTAGTAGAATTGTAATTAATTAATTACTATATTCGATACAATAAAATCAGATTTTGATAAAACTTTATAATAATATAGCTTACTAGCTGTCATCACTTATTTTGCATTCATCACCTATTTGTCCAGCATACTAATGTATATGAAGAAACAATAATATTAATAGAATTGTAATTAATTAATTACTATTCATATAGGATACAATAAAATCCTCTTATCTACAGTAATAATATCATAATTTGTCAATGTCAATATTAAAGTACAGAATCAAACAAATTATACTGATGAAAGTACAAACTACCATATTCAGTTGATTGTTGTTTTTAATTGTAACAGCTAACATACTGTCCTCCTATCTGATGGCTGTCAACATTGTATATATTAAGTGTGAGATATATTTTCATCATGGTCCAATTTAAATTTTAAAATATTTTGAAGCGCTACCCATAAACTAACTCTAACTCTAATTAATAATTTACAAAACTTAATTTATAATAAACTTTACTTTATCAATGGTGCTACAGTTTATTATTTAAATTTTTTGGTGATCCGCACATAAATTAACTTTTATTAATTATTTACAACTTTTTTTATAATAAACATTAGAATAAAAAACTTTATCTTTTCACACATAAAGGGTGCATTTATATTACATGTGTTAACAGGTCACCTGTGAGTAACACCTCAGAAAAAAATGATCAGTTTAATATGTAAAAGATACAATGTGGTTGAGAAGTAAAGCAAAACTATTTAACATTCATCAATAAATTAATTTACAAATAACAAACTAACCAATATTTATATACATTACAGTATATTCTACCATATTATTACTATTAATTTCACAATATATTGACGAGGATTTTTAATAAGCATTCTAAAATATTGATGGGATTTCTAAGAAGCATTCTAAAATGAAATTAAATTTTCGAATTGTCGAAAATATATACTATTTTAGTAATGCTTGGCAGGCTGCATTGTTCGCCTGAGTGTTGCTCATCCCTGGCCTATATATACACTGGTTTTAATACATGCTCACTGCATCATTCCTCACGTAGAGCACTTAGAGATTATAAACAATCTATTTGATTATAATAAACTTTAAATTTGATACTATAGTGGCTATTTGACTATTAGCTGTATGTATGTTGGACTCCAGTCTCCGCAATTAGCCTCTCATTCGGGCCGTTGTGTGTGCTTGTCTATTAGCTACGAAAGGACCTTTTTCTTTTAATAATTTTATATTGACATGAGAATACATGAGAAGATAAGACATACAGACAAGTAATGAAATTCCTTTATTATAAAGTAATACATAATAAAATGTAGTGCCTTGGTGGTCTACCGGTTTAGCATACCACCTTACTTCTGTTGTAGGTTCAATTCCCACACGATGCAAACATTTGTATTAATGAGTATGACTGTACTGGTCTGGGTGTTTCCTATGTATACTATATATGTATTTACAAAAAAAATGTATGAATAACACAAGGTCTGCTTTGTTTAGGACTAGATGGCGCTATATGAATTGTACAGAGTTATTATTAGTATATTTTTAACAAGCACTATTCCCTGTTACAGGAAATTCAGATAATTTAGTTGCACCTATATATAATACATATATGTAAGTAACATTTTATAGTATATATTTCGGTATGGACTTTACTATGTAATTGTATTTGAAATGAACCATTATTCATTGAGAAAGTAGGAAATAATTGAAGTCGGTACCGATAAACGGTAGCCTATAGAAAAATTTCACACTATTTCTTAGTTCATAACATTACACAGAGTACTCATATCTGAAGTTAATTTGTGAGTATTCGTTGTCATAAATAAGTACTTATAAGGTTTCTTATGTGTTGCGATAAGACGACAGATGTTAAATGAACTTTACTATTAAATAAATGATATAAAACATTCAAGTGACCAAATTTATACTCACAACTTAATGTCATCGTGAATAAATAATCGATCTGCCATTTTTAATGACTCCAATCAGTTTGTAGTAATTATTACACTATTCCAATAATCACACGTAAAAATTAAATCAAATTAATCAACAAGATTGAAAATTCGTAATGGATGAATACAAATCAACTGATGACAGTTTGACAATGACATTACATGACATTTTGTACATGATTACAGGAATGACGTCACATAAAAAAAAAATTGTTACCACCCATCGCACATAGTAGGTATACGAGTATAGGTTAAATTTCAGCTTTTAAAAAGATTATTTGAAAGGTGCCCTCTATTAACTAGCTTTTTTTACTTACCCAATGGTAATAGCTTCGGAGACAAAGCCGAAGTGAAAGGTCTCGCCCCAAAGCTACCTATACCACCCTTAGGATACAGCAAACCTAAGACATCGCATCAAAAGTGAAGGGTCTCGCTCGAAAGTTACAACCTATACCGTCCTTAGAGGAATACAGAAAATCCAAGACAGTCTCATACTTAAAGGTCCATTCAAAATTCTATTTGACTTTATATTATTTCACTATTATATAGTCACTTCGCATACATAGCGTTCATAATGAAATTAATATTCACCCAGCAGCTTGCAGTTAAAATAGCCCTCCTCTTACACCTGTGTAATATTATAATTAAAAAATAAAAACGTCAAATTGTCACACATGTGAGTTTGACAGTTGTTGATAACCTCAAAGTTTCAAAACAATATTCAATATTTAGTGTTCTAAACATAGTAAATAAATTACTATTTCTATATTTTTTACTATTCTTATATTTTTAATATGTGTAATTAGTTTATAATAGTCATAATGGAAGTTGAGGGTCATCCTGGACTTATAAAAACAATAAACGATGGCGAAGAAGTTGAAGATTTTTCAGACGACTCTGACGAAGAAATTGAGGTATTTATTAACTTACATATTAAAGATATAAGTGCCCGAAAGATGTTTTAAGATTCTGTACCTCCTATCACTGTATATACAGTTTCCAATGTATATATAATTCATGGAGATAAGTTTAATATCGCTAATTTCAAATGCCCAAGCAACAGTTGCTTTTTTACCGGACTACTAAAGAGAAGGAGATTAATTAGGATCTTTCGTTGTAGGGCTGTCTAAATCATCGCGGTGACGTAGACTACACTTTTCTATATCTTTTTTAGGTTAGTTGCTAGATTTTAATTGGCGCTTTGTACAATAACAGTATGATCCAGAAGTTTAAGGTCCAAATTTCTTAATATTCGTGTATATAATTTATAGGTATTTTGTAAACATAATTCGACGAATGGCTTAAATACTAGAAAATATAATTAAACATTTAATTTCAGTATCAACCATCAAAACAAAAAGTGAAGAAAAAAGCTGATTTCAATCCAAGCTTCCAGTTTGCAGGCTCTGTGGAGGAGTACAACAAGGTTTGTTAATTTAATTTAGAAAATACTGAATGCTTAGCAGCACCTTTATTGCTATAATAGATAAACAGATTGAGGAAAAAAATATTTTAAATATTTCACAAAAATGGTATCAAAACAACCTATTTAAGGTAACAAGTGCAAGTTTTCTTTGCTAATACATGTTTCATAATTGAAAAGTAACATGTATTAGCAAAGAAAACAAACATGTACTATTATAAAGTGGAAAAAATGAATGAAACCAAAAAATACTAAACTGTTTAAAAACATATTTAGTTAGCCTAGCCTAGTTTAGGATGTTAATGTGAACATATAAAATAATAAATAAATTATTTTTTAATAATAAAAATAATTTATATAGTTTTTTTTATTATAGCTTTAACTTCCACATAATATTTTTCAAACATTATAGTTATTTTTTTGTTTATTTATTATTTTTTCTTATGTGGCCCCCTCAGGTAAAAGCTTTCTCCAAATAAATTATTATTAATACTTAAATATATCTATTTCCCAAAGCCACCCTTTGATTATAAAAATGCATAAAAAATTAAAATTGTCTATTCAATTGTGGCAGCATTACACCATATAAAATATTTTAATGCTTATTACAGAACACTTGGGATGATCTACAAAAATATGTACGTAGAAATGTGAAACATACATTAGATGAGAAGATAGAGAAGAGACGAGCACAGGTCAAGATTAACGGGAACGCTGTAGACGTTGACACCGATTCAGATGTCGACCAAAAAGGTGATAAATAATAATTTGAATTTCTTGAATGTATGAATTGAGTAAGTAAGAAGTATGTATGTAATGAAGTAATTGTATATATTGTAAAGTGAAATTTGCTTTTGGTTTGGAATAGGGATATTAAAAATAGTTGCAAGATTTAAAAAACTCTGTCATCTATAGAAAAAGCAAACAGCCTTTTTTTTTATACCATGTAGGTGGCAAACAAGCATACGGCCCATCAGATGGTATTTACTTTAGATAGTATCAAATTAAAAAAATGTAGTAACGAATACTATTGTTTTTATTAGTCTGTGTGTTTTCTATGTATTTTCCTTATGTATTTACAAAAAAATATATCTTACTACTAGTGTTAGGGTTCACATCGATATTGTCGAAAAATCTGATATTTAATATTAAAAGAAGGTAGTTTAATTATTACTCAGTATTGTTAAACTAGTTGCATATAACCCCCACTCATAGCTTCTCTGTATAAAAGGGAGGGTTTTTGTAGGCCGCGGCATTCGGTCTTTGAGCACAGGGTGTGCTGGTTGTATTTTAAGTGAATTGTGTTAGAGACATAGTTAAATTAATGTTATATAGTTGTTATTTTATTATAATACATACTTTTACTAGTACATAGAGTTGATATATCTTACACTAGTAAGATATATTTTTTTGTTTATAAAGGATGTGAGTGTGGATGGATAGAGATTTTTTACTCTTTGCAAAAACTACTGAATTGATATTGATGTGATTGTACATATATATATAGCTATCATAATAACATGTAGGCTATAATTTAAAAAGATACTATGTAAATTGGTTGAAGTCTGATAAACGTCAACTGAGTGTGATGCAGCCAAAGTGGGGCTGGTAGGCAGGTTTTTAAATATTTCTAACAGTTATCTAGTACCCATAACACAAGTTCTGCTTAGAGACTCTTTCTCTACTTTCGGACTAGAAAATACTGTATGTATAGTGAAGGGATATAATAGAAGTTTTAAAAATAATACAGGTGAGGATGTTGATGAACTCCAAATATCTGATGATGAACTCAAGAGGGACGAAATTAAAACAAAGGAGAAGAAACTCACTAAAAAACAGAAATTGAAACAGGTATTTATTTTATTCTTTTTTATATTATATTCTATGTGTAATAAACAGTTTATTATTGTTATTACAGCTAATATAAAACCAGTAATACTCTACATGTTGTAATACATTGTTACAATCTGTTTGTTAAGTAATTTATTTGGAAAAAATAATTTATTTATTAATATATTTAATTTAATTTATTAATAATTAAATAATTTATTTGTAATATTATTTAAAGGATATGTTAAAATTAAAATAATATAATATATGTCTAGCAAGGAAGAATGTGAGTCGAGGAAGGCGATGTATAGAGACAAATAACAGTATATCACAATATAAGTGCATTATGATGGTTATAACACGTAATAGAGCCTAGAATGTTAAATATGCACAAAATGCGTTTATAACGCACATGTGTTTTATAAATTTCTTTACATATTGAAAACCAGTGAAATTAGATCCACTTTACGAGCAAGTTAGTTGAAAAAAATATGATAAATATTAATAATATATTAGAAGCATTTTCGTCACCTGTAATACGCTATGTGACTCCACAGTAAATATTCATATGGTGCCCTGAAGTTCTTAAGGTAACCTAAGCTTCTTTTTTGTTATAGGAAATGAAAGAACTAGATATAGAGCAAGGCACTCGTATCGAATATGATTCGGATTTCTTCGAGGAGCCCCCGCCGTACGACGAACAAGCTTCCTTCCAGATGATGAATCTCTCGCGCCCTCTACTCAAGGCCATATCCACGCTGAATTACGTCCACCCCACACCTATCCAAGCGGCTACAATACCTATCGCTTTACTTGGTAAATGTCTAAAGATTATTTATAACGGCCCCAGTGGTGTAACGGTTTACCACACAGTCTTACTACCGACGGTCGCAGGTTCGATACCTCGCACGGTACAAACATTTGTACTTAAAAGTATTATTGTTTGACGTTCTGGTTGTTTTCTATGTATAATATGTATTTATAGAAAAAAGTAACGATGTATTTATATCAGTTGTCTAGTATCTATAACACAGGTTATGAGCTTGAGACTAGATGACGTTGTGTGAATTGTACTAAATGTTATGTTATACTAGCTGTACCCGCGACTTCGTCCGCGTAGAATTTAACTTTATTTTCTAAAATAAAAGTAGCCTAAGTTACTTCTTATTACATCAGCTACCTGCCAAAAAAAGTCCCGTCAAAATCAGTACAGCCATTTCAGATATTAGCCGGAACAAACAGACCGACAGACAGATAGACAAAAATTATAAAAAATGTTATTTTGGTATATGTACCGTATATATATTCATATGCATGTAGGAAAAAACGGTTATTTCAATATTACAAACAGACACTGCAATTTTATTTATTTGTATAGATAACGTTATGTATATATTAATACATGGAGCTAAAACTTTGTACCTCGTTTAACGAAAATTGCGCCGACAGAGGATTATGAAATTCTGCACAATTATAGTTTTGAGTGTCATCTGCACTCGCCTATCGTCAGGTGAAGCTGTAAAGGCCTTCTGCGGCCAACAGTATTAGAATGTTTCGAAAAAAAGGCTTTATGGATTAACAGTTTCATAAATATATCGACTTGACCAACAGGGAAAGATGTATGCGCCTGCGCAGCCACCGGCACGGGAAAGACGGCAGCGTATATGCTGCCCATACTGGAGCGATTGCTGTTCCGCGCCAGAGGAGACCGCATCACCAGGGTACTGGTTCTCGTACCTACCAGAGAGCTCGGCGCACAGGTAAATTGTTAAATATTTATTTTTTATAACACAGGGGACAAACGGGCATGCGGCTCACCTGATGGTAAGTGATTACCGCCGCCCATGAGCACCCGCAACACCAGAGGAATTGCAAGTACGTTGTCGGCCTTTTAAAAAGGAATAAGCTCTTTTCTTGAACGTTTCAATATCGTATCGGTTCGGAAATACCATTGCTGGAAGGTGATTCCACAACTGATATGTAAACTACATCCTGGTAACACACCTGGTTAGTGAGTATATGGCCTAACTCTGTAAGTAAAATTTCAATAAAATCCGTTTAGGCGTTACCATACGATTAGGAAATAAACACCCAAAAATATTTAGAATATATTTTTTTTAATATGAGGAATTAATATTTATGGTTTCAGGTGCATGGTGTAACTAGACAGTTGACTCAGTTCACAACGGTCACAGTGGGACTTTCAGTCGGCGGTCTCGACGTCAAATATCAGGTAAGTGATTATCAAATTTTATTTAAATACATACAATTTATTTCAGGCAGCTTAATATTATTATAAATTATCACTACGACTGATTTAATCTTATTGCATATTTATTGCATATTATTTGACCCAAAAATTAGTGCTTGTTGGTAGTTTGTATTCACACGTTTCGACTTGTAAATGTAAACTTACAAGGATTATTTAAAAGAGCAACACACAAGTTTCTTGCTCGTTCTTCTTGTGATGAGACAGCTTTCCGAACGAGTGGTAGATAAAAAACAAATTGTTATGATTATTCAAAAGTGCTTAAATTAAGTTTATTTGAATAAATGATTTTCTATTCTATTCTATTCTATATAATAATATTGGTTCACATTATATATACTATCACATTATATATATGTATATTATATTAAGGACTAACATATGTATTTTAATATATTACTTTATTATTTTGTAATAAAGTAAAATATTAAAATATATATAGTTCGGCCGTACCTGTAGAACATCGTAGTTAATTCCTGGTGAATTTACCACAATGAAGTACCAATATATACTGTTAGCATACGTACCATTTATTTATATATTTATCTATACATATAAATAAAATTGGATTGTCTGTTTTTATTAATGAAATGACAGTTTTTTACTAGATGATTATGAATATAAATACGGTACATACACCAAAATAACATTTTTTATCTGTCTGTCCGTTGGTCTGTTTGTTCCGGCTAATGTCTGAAATGGCTGGGCCGATTTTGACGGGACCTTTTTTGGCAGGTAGCTGATATAATAAGTAGTAACTTAGGCTACTTTTATTTTAGAAAAATAAAATAAAATACAACGCGGGCGAAGTCGCGGGAACAGCTAGTATTATATATATCATGAATAATTTACGTTGTGTTTCACTTATTTTTAATTAGGTACACATTTTTAATTTCTGATAAAGAATATCAATGATAATATTAAATTAATTAAAAATATCGTCAATTAGAAACTATAGGCACTCTTTAATAATAGTGGCTTCTATTTTCTTTTAATTCAACTTAATTTATTTAACGATTTCAGCTCTTGTTATATTTTAGTTTAGTTTCATTTATTGACCAATGTATTTTTATCTTTACATATATGGCAAGTCATAATATACAATAATTATATTTATAAAATTTAAATTTGATTACATACAATTAAATTGATATTATTAAATAAAATAAAATAAATTCATTACGTACACAATACACGGTGTAACTAAATACAATACGTCATAATAAAGTTTAAAAATCATAATTACGGTTTAATTACATATATAATTACATTTTGATTCATATATTCTGTAACATTATAAAAATAGTATCACCATTCCATATATATCCATCTAAGATGCCAAAGAAGGTATAAATATTATTTATATCAAATAAATTGTAGGAAAGCGTGTTGCGGCGGAATCCTGATGTTGTGATTGCTACCCCCGGCCGTCTTATCGACCACATACGGAACACGCCGTCGTTCAGCCTCCACTCTATCGAGGTATTGGTGCTGGATGAGGCTGACAGGTAAAACTTTCCCTTTGAATACGTTTATTTATATACTATCTGTGCCCGCAGTTACACCTGTTACTGAAATTCATATATTACTAGCGACTCGTCATGGCTTTGTACAGATGCATTACAAATATTCGAATTCCTCAACTTGTTCTATACTATAACACGCATGTATTATACATATAAACCTTGCCCTTGATTTACTATCTATTGCTGAAAAGTGCATTAAAATCCATTGCGTAATTTAAAAGATATCTATCAATGTCACACTTTATCGGTCCTCTCTCCCATCTCATTAGCTTAATTTATGGATGGCCCCTTATTTGTTATTCCATTTACATAATTTCACGAAATTTAGAACACCTTCCGCCCATTTGTCACACATTGTCACATTTTATCGGCCCCGTCCCCCACCTTAGCATGGACGTACTTATGGATGACTCCTTATTCGTCATTCAGTTTACATGATTTTGAAATGTGACGGCACTAAATTTAGGTATCGGTAAAGTGTGACATAGTCACACTTTATTGATTCATCCCCCACCTTTGCATGAGACGCTTTACATGTACATAAAAACAAAAAAACAATTTGCCAACAGAATGCTCGACGAGTACTTCGCAGAACAGATGAAGGAGATCATCAAACAGTGTTCTCCAAAGCGGCAGACCATGCTGTTCTCTGCCACCATGAGCGAGGAGGTCAAAGACTTGGCCGCTGTGTCCTTGAATAAACCCGTCAAGCTGTTTGTTGACTCCAATAAGGATGTAGCTTTCAATCTAAGGCAGGAGTTTGTCAGGTATGTTTATAAATACGAAGCTGGTTATTAACGATTTTAACCAAGCAATTAAAAATGCATGTTTCGTTATTAACGGTTAATTAACCGCAATTTATGATTGGTAGTTTCAGTAGTTAGAGCCCGAAAAGGATTGCCCACGATATATATAAAACACAAATTAAGTTTATAAAATATGGCTCAACTAGAGACTTCATAAACATGCCCCTCTCAATTCAATTTAGTTGTAGCCCACTTATGCATAAGCAAAATATCTCTTTGGAAAGTATACCCTTAGGAGATAAAAACCATCGCTCCTAAGAATATCCTTCAATTTTTGTCCCTGACGGGTCTAGGTAGCGAGCTTTGGAAAAAAGGGCGTGCTGAATAGATCTATGTAGGTCTTAACACATGACAATAGCCCAAAACCCTCAATAAAAAAACTGGGTTAGGTGGTTGTTACGTTAGTAATGTGGACTGATAATCCCATTGCTAGCAATATACTATTTCATTAATTCATTGATATGTTGGTTTAATCCAGGATTCGAAGGGAGCGCGAGAGTGAACGTGAGGCCATACTGGCGGCGCTAGTGTGCCGGACGTTCAGAGATCGCGCGGTGATCTTCGTACAGACAAAGAAGCAAGCACACAGGTTGCACGTGGCCCTAGGGCTGCTCGGAGTTAAGGTATTTCTACACTGAACAGATTGCGATGTTAGTCATCCGAAGTATAACAAAACTTTGAACCCCTTAATTATTTTTAATGATTGAAGGATGCTGGTCATCCGCACCGGTCTAGAACAAAAACTTTGTACCCCTTAGTTTATTTTTGAACTTTCATGTTTGATATAAATTATTTATGTTATTAACCGAGTCTTAACACGAAGAATTTTATACCAAATAAAGGTATTTACAACTCTCGACTACCTGCTACATTTTTTACGAAAATTACGTCGACGGAGCAATATGAAATTTCGCACACTTATAGTTTATATAGAGAAGGAGTGCAGAACGCTAATATTTTTTTAAATTATGTATAAAAAGTACATTAAATCAATAAGAAAAAAACATTACACACGTAGTGTTTTTTTCTTCACGTATTTGACACACACACGCATATATACGTTTCTTTGTTCAAATATAATTTGTCTAATAATATTATTTGTCTATACGTCTCATTAAATGTTAAATTAATTATGGTCGAATTTCGACTACAGGCCATCAATAGTAAAAATAAAATAAAATAAGAAATAAAAATATTCTTTCTTCAAATAATAAACTTAATATGAGCATGAATATTTATATTTTTATTATTCTACCACTCATTCGGAACGAAGACTTATCACAAAAAGAACGAGCAAGAACGGTTGGGTTTTGTTCCTTTAAATAAATATTGTTCTAAATACACATTAAGAAGGATTAGGCAAGTGACAATCAACATAGAGTCAACGCACTCAATCTTTGTGCAAGCAGATATTGTCAGTGTGTCAGGTTGTATTTTAAGTAAATTTCTTTCTTTTTTAATATCTATTTCTTCCAGGTGGCTGAACTACACGGTGCATTGACGCAGCCCCAACGGTTGGATTCCCTCAGGAGGTTCAAGGACGAGCTGGCAGAAGTACTGGTGGCGACCGACGTGGCCGCTCGAGGGCTGGACATACCAGGTGTGAAGACCGTCCTGAACTTTACTTTACCAGCTACCATCGAACACTATATACATAGGGTAAGACAGGAACTTTGACTATGATAATATTATGTCTGTACTCGCGCAACTACGTCTGCAGGGGGCAAGAGAATTGTTAATAATGTGGACTGATGATCTTATTGTTAGCATTGTACCATGTCAGGTTGACCAATAGTTGATGTCGTGACTAATTCTTGGTGAATTTGTTACGATGTGCTAACTGCCCTGATCTCACGCTCATCTTATCATCCTCCACTGGTGCCCCGTCAGCGTAAATGGTGAGCGCAGGCGGGGCATTTTTCCATTATCATCTATAAAAAAAAACTTTGTCTGCATCACACTTACTTGACATTATGTTTCGACGACCTCAGTGGTCTTGGGGTTTAGTACACTGTTTTCCTTCCGATGGTCGCGGGTTCGATTCCTTGCACGGCGCAAACATTTGTATTTATGAGTATGTTGTTTGTATCGGTCTGGGTGTTTTCTATGTATACATATGTATGTATTTACGGAAAAAAATCTATGTATTTGTGTCAGCTATTTAGTACCCATAACACAAGCTTTAGCTAACTTAACTTGGGTCTAGATGTCGCTATGTGAATTATACTGAGATTATTATTATGTATGTATTTATCGAGTGGGGTTATTAGTCCATATTACTAACGGGTTGTTAGTTCTTCCTTCCTCCCAATATCCTACTTTTAATGTGCAGGTAGGCAGAACAGCGCGAGCTGGTCGTGCCGGCGTCTCAGTGTCGCTAGCAGGCGAAGGTGAGAGGAATTTAGTCAAGGCGATCGTGAAACGAGCCAAGCGGCCGGTCAAGTCGCGCCAAGTTCCGCCGGAAATCATCGCCAAGTATAAAGACAGGCTCGCAAGACTTGAACCTGAGATTGGTGAGGGGTGTTTATTTTTTTCTAGTGCTCGCCCAGTGGTCGAAATTTGACCATAATTTAATTTATATGTTTGACTATTATTAAGGATATATTGTCAAAGACTTACAAAGGTCTTTAATACCTAATATATAAATTGTAAATGAATTTCGACATTCAGTAAGACTATTAATATTAAGACAAAACATATTAATCTGTTTTATTATTATATTTCTCTAAATATAAATTGTAGAAAAAACTTAAAATTCATAGCATTGACAATATTATCTATATTTAAAATAACATTTATTTAAAAAGTTTCACAGTCACACAAGTTTCTTGCTCATTCTTTTTATGATGAGTCTATGTTCCGAATGAGTGGTAGAAAAAAAAATATGTCAGATGCGTGTGTATATTATCAAATACTTGGTAGTGTGTGTAATGTTTTTTTATTGATTTAATGTATTTTTATATCTAACTATAAAAAAATATTAGCGTTCTGCTCTCCTTTATAATAATAATTAAAAATCAGTCTAATTAAAATTCAAAATTTTTCAAATTCAAAAATAATTTATTCATGTAGAACATTTTAGCCGCTTATGAACGTCAAATTTTTACATTATAATTTAATTTTTTCCCTACCGTCCAGTTCGGTATATAGATCCAATTGAGAAGAACTGGCAAGAAACTCAATTGAATTACTTTTTTTTTTAAAGCCAGTTTATTTACAATGTATTTTATATAGGTGTCTATGTCTAACATCGCCTTCATATACCCGTAATGCCACAACGTAGAATCATCTTCCAACACTGATATTTCCGAAACGATACGATATTAATACCGTCAAGAAAAGAGCTTTGTCCTTCTTAAAAGGCAGACAATGAACTTACCTTTCCCCTGGTGTTGCGGGTGCACATGGGTGACGTCAATCACTTGTGATGTGCTCGTTTGTCCCAAGCTATATAATAAAAAAATGCACATTTTTTTTCAATACAGTAATTAAAATCATCATGTGTAGATATAAAATTTAACTGATTTTATACTTACAGCTGCCATACTTGATGAAGAATATGCAGATAAGCAGCTGAAGAAAATGGAGAAACAAACCGCTAAGTTGGAGGGAAATTTAAAGAAGGAGGATGGTCAAGACGGTCCCAAGTACGAGACGAAGAGGCAACACGAGTGGTTCCAGACCAATAAAGAGAAGAGAGAAGAGAAGGGGCGGCTGGCTCTAACCCAGCACAAAGGAAAAGGTAATCTTTCACAATAATAAAGTGCAGTAAATCAAATATTTCATATTTTGGAAAATCGACTTTATTGTTTCGTCTATAAAGTTCATTTACTGTAATCTATTGTAAATAATAATATTATAAAAAGGAAAGATTATAATTCACATACATTTCACTACATATCTACAAATAGCATATACCTACACGATGACAGTACTGCGGGAAATATGTGATGTTTAATCGGTTTTTTTAAACCACAAAACAAGTCATGGTCTGTGTATGACTATAACATGTTATGGATATATTGATACATAATAGTATCTTACAATATAAGTGCGTTATAACAAGTGGCGGAATTTCAGCCCGAGCCGAAGGCGTAGAATACCCGAGTGTGTTAAATACGCACGTATAACGCACGATGTTTTTCAACACAGTTGATTTTAAATAAACTCAACCATAAAACTGTGATGCGCACTGTTGCTTTCCCGTCGTTTTACTTTATTAAATCAACGCGCTGTCTACTAGCTGGAGCCGGTTGGCGTTCAAAATTTGATAAATAGTATAACAATCTTTGTGGTTATGAAATATAACTTCATTTTACAACGCTTGAGTGTTTTATGAGCTACTTTATATATCGAAAACCGGTAAATTTTGATGCAGTTTAAGAGCAAGTGTGTTGAAAATAATTTATATTCACTTACAGCGTACGTACAACAAAATTATAGTAACAAAATAATATTATTCAAATTCAAATTCAACATATCTTCATTCATGTAGGTCTATTACACTCTTAGAAAATAATTTATATGCACTCGCAGCGTACGTACAACAAAATTATAGTAAAACATTAATATTATTCAAATTCAAATTCAAATTCAAAATATCTTTATTCATGTAGGTCTATTACACTTATGATATGTCAAATCTACCGTCAGTTCGGAATGATTTCGAGATGAGAAGAACAGACAAGAATCTCAGCTCGTATTCTTTTCAAATTAATATTATACGTGTTTACAATTATACAGATTAATTTTTAAATTCAAACTTGGGAGAAGGAGAATAGAGTGACCACCAGCATATGCTATTTCAAAGCAAATAGTCTAATCAGTGTTCGCAACCCAAACAGACCAGTCCCCACAAGCAGCACCCGTTCACAAGTATGACGGATTATTGCTAACATGTGTACTAATAATTACTAAATGTACAGATATGAATCAAAAAGGGAAAGGCAAGAAACGCAAACGAGACGAGGACGACGACTCGGATGAAGGTGGTGACGGTAAGAAGCGGAAGAGGCAAAGCAAACACAAACCGAAGGACACGCCCGAGGAACGAGTCAATAGGGAGATGGAAAAGGTAATCACTGGACTTAAATCTTCTATATATATAAAAACTAGCTTTTGCCCGCGGCTTCGCTCGCGTTAATTTATCAAAATCCTTTCTTAGGGGATGCCTATGTCATAGTAGCTTTATGCATGCAAAGTCTTAGCCCGATCGGTTTAAAATTGACAAAGTGTCATACAAAGTTTCACCCCCTATTTTATGCCCTTGGGGGTAGAATTAATCAAAATCCTTTCTTAGCGGATGCCTTCGTCATAACATCTACCTGCATGCCAAATTTCAGCACGATCGGTCCAGTGGTTTAGCCTGTGCGTTGATAGATCACTATGTCAGTCACCTTTGAGTTATATATATTTAGATGAATTGCTGCTCGTTAATTGCTTCGTAATAAAATATTAATCCCTATTTTTTTTATTGGGTTGTTTGGGCTATTGTCAGGTGACTGTAGCACTATAAACAATATACGACCTATATAGATCTATTGTGCTCGCCCTCTTTCAGAGTTCGCTACCAAGACCCATCAGGGACAAGAATTGAAGGATATTCTTAGGAGCGATGGCTTTTATCTCCTCATTAAAGAGTGTAAACTTTCCAAAGGAAATATTTCGTTTACGCATGAGTGGGCTACAACCACATAGGATGTGTAGTTGTGTTTCCTCTTCAGTTTGGCAAAATCTGCAGATTTTTGTTGTGCATAGGCTTAGTTTTGTCATATGCTTGTTTAATTTGCAGTGTCCTATGACGGTCCTAGTCCTAGAGGTATTAATCCCTACTTTAAAGTCTAAAATCTAAGACGAAATAATAATTCTAGATGACTCGCACAATTTCGTTTGCGTCGCATAATCTCTTCTGAATTTTTCTCTTTCGAATTATCAGCAACCCCTCACCTGTTGTCGTAGCGTGATTTATATTTCATAATGGTATCAGTAATACATGAGATTATCCTGAATATCCAAACTTACATTGTTTATTTTATCTATTTATAATATTAGTATAGCTTGGTTTTTAACAAGGACTTTTTTGTCAGGTGGCCCTTCTGCAATCACGCATGGCGAAACGGAAAAAGAAACAACGTCGCATCCGCACGATTGATGATGATGATGACCGGCCACAGGTTCAACAGAAGAAATCATTCAAACAAAAGAAAAAACAGAGCAACTTCGCTAATGACCTTACAGATACCTCTCAAAAAGCTGCCAAGAGACTTCGTTATGATGCGAATAGAGTTCAAAAAGGAAAGGGGCTGCCTCAAAAAGGGAAGGGACCGGCCCCAAAGGGGAAAGGAATGGCCCAAAAGGGGAAGGGAACACCCCAAAAAGGAAAGGGAGCGCCTAACAAAGGCAAAGGTTTTTCGAAAGGCAAGAATAAGACGTTTGGTAAACCACAAGCGCCGAAACAGGGACGTAGATAAAATAAATCAATTGTTCCTTTGTTTAATTTTGTTTTTTTTAACATAGTTAAAAAGAAGTGTACCTAATATTTTTGTCTCCAATGCAATAATTTAATAATTTATTCTTAAGATTTGTCTTTCAAAAATATATATGTATAAGGGGCCCTACAAAATTTATGTATAAAGTATGACAAAGTATGGGATCTTAAAACACGAAATTTTGAACTATTAGAGAAAATCTTTCAAATATTTCCCTAATCTATACAAATACATGAAATTGATTTATCTGTTCGTAATTTCAAAATAATTACTTTTCACTAGATTCATATAAAAGTATATGTATATACGTTACTTAATAACAAAAAAATCTGAAATGGTTGGACCTATTTTAACGGGACTTTTACTCGTAGATATCGAATGTTATAAAGAGTGGCTTAGGCTACTTTTTTTTTCCTTATTTTAATAATAAAGAAAATTAAGCCCTACACGAAAACAAAATTGAAGCCAATGAAATAGTTTTTTGTTACATCCCACTCGGACAAAGTCGCGGGTAATAACCATTATTTAATAAACTTTCTGGGCAACAAGATTACTAAGTTTTGCCGAGGTAATCTTGGTACAAAATCGACAGTCCCATTTATTTCAACCCCCAAACAGTTTACTTTGTAAGGTGAGTTTAAGTTGTAAAATGCTATTAGGTGTTAAAATTACAGCTTCGGAAAGCAGCGTGGTCTGTTTTTCAGGTAAGCCGTCAGCTTGTATGGCATATCAATTAAATAAAAAAACTTATTTTAACTATGACATATTTGTAACAATATTCTGAAAATATAATACATAAATATGGAAATTATAATTATTATAATCATTTAATTTTTTGGTAGAGCACGCGAGAGGGATAGAATGTTTTGAGTAAATGTCTCATGGGATAATTCGTTTTCCTGACATAGAAATTATTGAAAATTAAACGTTATGGTATACTGTTAAGGTATAAATTTCTTTAACTTTATATTTCGGCTTCCAGTTTTTTTTTTTTTTCTCTTCTTTGGCAAGAGGCTAGTGTTGCCTATTATGCCACTAAAAACAGGAAACGAGACGGGATAATGGAAAGGAACGGGTTAAATTTTGAATATACTCGGAATTAGTGATCATGGGTTTTAAAGTTTAATGTTATTATGGGAAATAAAAGACGCAAGAGATTTATAAATTATAGGATTAGGATGAGCTAATAGGCATACAATGGATGAAGGAAAAGGAATTTCTAATGAGATGAGTGTCTCTATAAATGAAGAACGATTGTAAGAGGAGCAGGAAAACACAATATGATTTAGATCACCCACATCTTCTCCACATTCACAGATATTATTGTCTTTTATACGTAGTTTTGTTAAATGTTCAGGGCTGCAAACATGACCAATTCGCATACGAATCAAAACACTAGTTGATCTTTTATCAAGATGTAATTTGAAAAACCACGGTTTAAGAGCTATAAACGGTTGGACTAAACAGTACTGTTTCCCTTTAATTTTGCTACTTATTGTCCAATCTTGACTCCATGAATCATGAAGACAAGACTTAGACAAGGCAGGGCTTCCAGTTACGTAGTACTCATGGAGATACCATAGACGTAATGTGGGCATAGATATAGGATATAGACAATTAATGACAGGTTATGCATAGACAATAACTGTGGCGTCGTCGCTATGCTAAACGGATGTTGTTTATGATCGACATTTTCCTTCGAAATGGAAATAGAACTAAACTGAAATTATCCATATATTTTATTAAATACTAACGAGACTGAGTGTATATTTTATGTAATGTACATGCAGTGTCCAAAGGCGTATTTGCAAAGTTCATGGAATTGTACAGTCTATAATAAAAGGAGTAAAGTTTTTTTCACCAATATATAGCGGGAAACCTACGCTGTGACGCGCAAAACGCAGTTTATTTTGTTGAGAGGATAGCTACAATTTCATAACCGTCTTGTTATGTGTTCATTTAAATTGACAGTGCAATTGTGACATATTTTGTAAAATTTGACAATGTCCGACGAAATGGCGATTGGTGATAATGCTTCAAATGAAGATGCAAAGGTAAATGGTGATGAAACGGTACCAGAGAGTGGCGAGGACGCCGAGACAGCTCCTACGGATCCACCCACTGGACCTGAAGTATTGAAAACGGAAGTTTCTGCAGAAGGTATAACTTTCACATAACCTAAATATTTAGTGTCAAATCTTGCCACATTACTAGAATTTCTCTATATTCATTCTATATATCATATCTAATCAAGTCTTATTTCTTTTAAACTGTCTATATTTTCCACTATTTAGTTTCATGCTAACTTTTAAGAACATAATTTATGAAGTTCATATAACTAGCTTGTAATGGATATATACATATCCATAATAAGATTATAAATGAGTGGCTGTCCGTTTTTTATAACATTTCACAACAAAAATACTAGAAAGAACTTATTTAAATTTTACATGAGAATATATTTTTTGATGTAGTTGGACAAATGTTTATATCTTAGGAAATTAGGCGATCAGCATCGGTAATAGTAAGTTTCTAATATTACTCATAGTGTAATTATATTTCGACTGTCATGTGTATAATATACACTTTTATCTCATTTTAACCTGTTATAATTTACAATTTTTTTATATAAATTAATGATAGATTTTATGGAACTTTGTAAAATTCTTTGTACATAGACAGCAAAATGTCCCATCAGGTACAAGAATTGAAGGATTTTTTAAGAGTGATGGTTTTTATTCCCTCAGGATAGAGTGTAAACATTTGCCGATGGGAAGTCTAGGTAGCAAACTCTAAAAACAGGAGAGCATAATAGATCTATGTAGGTTGCAGTGCTACAGGTACAAATCCTGATAGAACATTGTAATGTGTTTACTGATATGACCTTGGTGGTCTAGCGGTTTAACACACTACCTTACGTCTGATGGTCGCGAGTTCGGTTCCTCGCACCATACAGATATATGTATTCATGAGTATGATTGTTTGTGTCAATCTAGGTGTTTGCTATGTCTAATATGAATGTATTTACGAAAAACCAAAATTATATGTACAACCGTGCGAAGCCGAGTCGAGTTCCTAGTTATTATAATACAATCAAGCACTGTCATTCCTGATGGATTACTCTATATTGTCTACTTGCGATCAGCCCATACTTTGTATTAGTACTATTATTGTAGGAATGCCATTTTTTTTATTCTATACTGCCCTTGTAACTTACAGACAGTATTATTTATAATATATTTATTAAATTTAGAAATTTGGACCAAATAAAAAATATTTTTTTTACCTTTATAATACTTCCAGCTAACACTCACAACTTCTTGTGTGATACATTTACCCTGTTATTACTACGTTTTACATTGCAGCTCTGCTCCTATTCGTTGTAGCGTGATGTTTTATAGCCAATAATATTTTTCTATAAATGGGTACAGTCAATCAATATTATACTGAACATCGGAACTCAAAAACTTTACCTCTCAAATAAAATCTTAATAATATTTTAAATGCGAAAGTTTGTGAGTATGAGCTGTTGATTGAATTGTATGGAATTCTGTATCCTCATTTTTTAAGCTAAAAAAATGAAACTTTTTCATTTGGCGTTTATTAGTTTAGGTCTTTAAATTTTTTTTGTTCATTATTCCGTTAAGGTCACTATTTTATGCTGACGAAGTTGCAGGTACAGCTAGTAATGTTATATATGCGAAAGTATGTGAGTATTGATGTTTGTTGCTCTTTCACGCAAAAACTACTGAACGGATTTTGATGAAACTTCACAGTAATATAGCTTATGCATCGGAATAACATATACACTATATTTTTTATTGAAATTTATTGTGGCTGAAATTGTGAGCACAGCTAGTTATATATATTACTTATTACTATGAATTTTTTAAATGAATGATAATGGTATGATGTATCAACTCCCTAATCCCTAAATACATTGACAATATACCAGTTCAGGATGATAGGATGAGCACAAGTTCAGGTCACTTAGCCCATAATGGCAAATTGATCAGGAACATATGATGCTTTCAAAGGGAAGTGTTGTGGAGGGCAACTTGACATTGTACAGTGCTAGTGGGGTTATTAGGCCATATGACTAACAATCGCCTTCCCTCATTACTGTAAATTTGTTTGCTCATTATTTATTGACTTCCTATATCTTAGCCTTTTGTTTATTTTGTTGTAATAAACAAGAGTGATTTTATTGCTTAAAGTATCTCTACAGTAAGTCGAAAAACACTTATAATTAAAGTGCTTTAGCCAGTGTACCATGAGTGCAATAGCATACCAAACATTTTTAGCCGTGTAGCGCTCAGTATCAGAGATACAGATTTTTTTTGTAGGAAAGGGTATATGACATTAAAATTAATGATTTTTCATGGCATCTTTAGATATACCTGAGAAAAAACCCAAGGCACTCAAAAGCATTACCTTTTTACCTGATTTTTGGATATATTATTTCTCTGGCAATATATATATTTTGATTAGATTTGATAATAACTTACCTCAGTCTATATATTGTTGTAATCTTACTTATAATTCATAGCACTGACAATATTATCACATTGCACAAAGATTCAGTGCCCAGTGGCTTCAGTGTTAATTGTTGCATGCCCAATCCTTGTTAATGTGTATTTATTTAGAACAATATTTATTTAAATTAACAACACACAACTTTCTCGTTCATTCTTCTTATGATGATTCTGCTTTCCGAATGAGTGGTACAATAAAAAGAATATGACTATTCAAAAGTACTTATATTAAATTTATTTGAATAAACATTATTTCTATTGTTTTAGATGCACCAAATTCAGAAGAGAATATTGGAGAGGAGACTGCAGAAGTTAAAACAGAACCTGACATAGAACCAGAAAAGGGACCTGTTGCAGAAGATGAACTTGACTCAGTGAAGAAAGATGATGAGGTTGATAACAGAGGAGTCAAACGTAGAGCTTCCACTGCTTTTAGCGATGCTGGTGATGAAGAGTTCAAAGGTTTTGATAGTGCTGATGATAAAGATGTGTCAGTGGACTATAGTCGCATTGTCGGTAAGTGATTTTAAAGATAACTTGTATTTTTTAATCAATTTCTGTAATTAATAATTTATGGATTATTATAATTTTGTGCTTACACTTGTAATGTGTATAACAATAATAATAATCTCAGGACAATTCACACAGCGCCATCTAGATCCAAGTTAAGCTAGCTAAAGCTTGTGTTATAGGTACTAGATAACTGATACATACACTGATAGATATATTTTTTTTGTAAATACATACATATTATACATAGAAAACACCCAGACCGATACAAACAATCATACTCATGAATACAAATGTTTGTGCCGTGCGAGGTATCGGACCCGCGACCATCGGTCGTAAAGCGGTGTGCTAGACCGCTAGACCACCGAGGTCGTCAATATGTATATATGTATATAAGTTGTCTTATGACTTAGATTGAATTCCAGTATAAAATCGGTCCGCATTACGTAGCGTAGTGTTCGTGTTTCTAATAAGCCATGTAGCACATGATTAAAAAAACATACTAATGGAGTACAATCATTGCCCCTTTTATTAAATGATTCCTTTCAAGACGAGGCTGGTCCAATAAGTCAGCTCTCAGGCTCTGTTTCAGAATCTTTCCGCAAGTCCCTGGATGTAATATCTTTTCAATTGAGAGAATCTTAGATTCCTTAATCCCTACAGTTTAATTCTATGTCCATTTAATGTGGACTGGTTGCTTCTTCTGTCGGATTTTGTATCCTGTTACAGTGTTTAATTTTTCTTCCATATACATAAGCTTATTACTTATGTATTGTGGAATATTTAAAATACATCGACAGCCTTAGCTATAGTCTTACTTTAGCACACTGCTTTACTTCCGAAGTTCAAAGGTTCGATTTCTGTATGGTACTGTAGACTATGATAAAGCCTTTGACTCTATTGAGACCTGGTCTGTTTTGGAGGGTTTACAGCGATGACAAGTCGACTGGCGATACATCTAAGTGCTGAACAAATATTGTATTGTTAAGCCTAGTATCCATAGCACAAGCTCTGATTACCTTCGGACTAGATGAGTTGTCCAGAGGTATTATTATTATTGGGAGGATGATATAAGGGCAGTAGCTGGATCAACATGGAGAAGGAACGCGTTGGATCTAGGAACAGGGAGTCTTTTGGGGGAGGCCTATGCCCTAGAACAAGCTGTTGAACCGTAACAGTGAATAGCAATAAACAACATTAACTTCACTATACTGTTAGTGAAGTTAATGTTGTTTATTGCTAAAGGCTATAAATAAATAAATAACAAAAAATATTATTATTATGTATGCTAAAATGAATTATTTATCTCTAGAACGTCTGGAAGCAGAGGTATCAGCAGCCACAAAGGATTTCACCCCACTGCGGAGTGTGATGGCCACACCGCCTGCACTGATCAAGGCCATGAAACGAGCTAGGCAGGACACTGGTATGTGTTACACTTAAATACTCCGAACTAACTGTAGATTTGATTTGAAGTATGGACCAACATGAATAAAGATATTCTGAATTTTTAATATATTTTAATATAAATACGGTACATACACCAAAATAACATTGTTTACAATTTTTGACTGTCTGTCTGTCTGTTTGTGTCATTTTCATAAAATGTAAATGTTGTTTTTAAGTTATCTATACATCTATGCATATAAATAAAATTGGAGTGTCTGTCTGTAATATTGAAATAACCGTTTTTTACTACATGCATATGAATATAAATACGGTACATACACCAAAATAACAATTTTTGTCTGTCAGTCTGTTTGTTCCGGTTAATTTCTGAAATGGCGGGACCGATTTTGACGTGACTTTTTTTTGGCAGGTAGCTTATGTAATAAGGAGTACATTATTACATCAGCTACCTGCCAAAAAAGTCCCCTTACTTAGGCTACTTTTATTTTAGATTTTATAAAAATAAAGTTAATTCTACGCGGACGAAGTCGCGGAAACTGCTAGTTAGATATAAGACGGTGCTAAACGGCTAGACCACACCAATAGCTAATATTTGCTCAGCTTTAAACAGGCTTTCTTATGTTTAGATGGATCAAGACCTTCATCAGCCTTATCATCAAGGTCCGACGGCGATGGAGTCATCTCGACTGATGTAAGTTTACACAATTATATCACACCTTCATATGAATTAATCAGTCCAATTAGGACTCAAGTTCTGATGCAATCAAGGTTCATTTTGTAATGTAGCTGTGCTTGTAATGAATATTTGCTCTTCTAATCACAATGCTCAAATTCTCTAACGCAAATAAAAAGTCTAGCCATTGTAATAAGTGCACTGCGGAATAATATTGTATGCAAATTGAATTGAAATAAATTAGAAATGCTATGTCTTAGTATGGACAGTATTTATACTCGGGTTGTTGTATATATAAGTAGGATATTGTATTAGACGTTAGTACCACACATATAAAGGTATAAAAGAAAAGTAAAAGATTAACAATAAAGAACACAATAGAAGTTTTTTTAGTCTTTGAAATTTTCCATTTGATTTTTCATTTTGAGTATACGGTGTACTCAATATAGTCTTGCGCCACAAGAAGACTTAGATAATTAACTTTATTAACAGAAACATTTTGTTGCCGTGCAATTTCAATCTCGACCTATTTGTTTATAAAACGGGGCTGAAAATCCATACCTATATCCATGGAAACCAATGGAAATACATATACTACATATATTTATAAAATATAATAATGCTATAATATCATATTTTTTCACATTCTAATGCTTGCCCTCTATGGAAGTACGTGCATCTGGTTCCAATTGTAAGTCTACAGACCTCATTCTGCTTAATCTTGGATATAAGCAATGACATAAAAACAATAGTAATTATTATTTATTTATTTCAGGCAACTAGGCCATATCATAAATATGTTATAGACTAATATACAAATGAAATAATATTTTAAAAACTAATTAACTACATACTACATAAAACTAATATGAACTCATATATTACTATCGTTTTTATGACATTCGAAATAGGAACTATTTTGAAGAATTCTTCAAATGTTGTCAGATGTTAGTTTATAACAAGTAACAAATTTTGAACTAAGAATTCACATTTTTTATACTTTACATCTTCGCGCTATCACCTGACATATAATACAGTATGCTACAGGTATCTGACTATTTTAGTTTATGGGTTTTACTATGATTTGTTAGCAATTTAGTATTTGTACTCGTTTACTCATTAATGCGGAATGGGCCTTCAATATTCGTATAGCTGCCTTTATATGTACGGTCTTTCACGTGAGTATCTGCCTTCACGCAGTAAAAAATGTGTATGTTAATATAGACAAAGAGAACAAGAAAGAGCGTACATGTAAAGGTAGCTATAAGAATATATCTGCCTTTACAAGTACGGTCTTTCACGCGAGTATCGGTCTTCACGCAGTAAAGAATGTGTATGTTAATGTAGTTGTTAAAACGCTTTTTTATAATAGGACGAAAATATCATTTAAAAAAAAATTCCTCTCACTATATGCTGTTTGGAATGATCTAAAACATTTAGTTATTGGTATATGCAGGCAACGAGCGCATGGTCGCCGTCGATGCGCGGGAGGAGGGCCACCACTGAGATGTCTTCGCCGCTGCTGCGCGTGCCGCTCGAGCGCGGCTGGCGGCGAGAGCTAGTCTACCGCGCCGCACTCGACGCGCACTCGCGCCGCAACGCAGACATCTACTACTACACGCCGCACGGGAAGAAACTGCGCTCCACACGCGAGGTCAGTGACCTGCCTAGTGTACGAGCTGGTGTACCGCGCCTTGACGTAGACTTGTATACGCCGCTACGCAGACTACTACTACACGCTGCACGAGAAGAAGCTGCGCACCACACCTGAGGTCAGTGACCTGCCTAGTGTTCGAGCTGGTGTACCGCGCCGCGACGCAGACTTGTACACGCCGCTACGCAGACTACTACTACACGCTGCACGGGTAGAAGCTGCGCTCCACACGTGAGGTCAGTGACCTGCCTAGTTTACGAGCTGGTGTACCGCGCCGCGACGCAGACTTGTACACGCCGCAACGCAGACTACTACTACACGCTGCACGGGTAGAAGCTGCGCTCCACACGTGAGGTCAGTGACCTGCCTAGTTTACGAGCTGGTGTACCGCGCCGCGACGCAGACTACTACTACACACCGCAACGCAGACATCTACTACTGCACGCAGCAAGGGAAGAAGCTGCGCTCCACAGGCGAGGTCAATGCCCTACCTAATGTATCTGTATCGACATATTGTGGTGTCACAGGAAGAGGTAATTACTGGTAAGGTGTGAGACAAACTTCTCAGCATTCCAAGGATTCACTATGCGGAAGCAAGTCCAATGTTTGGTATATTGGGAAACTCCGAGCTGTTCCCAAGACTTTTGATCCAGTGTTGGTTTAGAGTCTCATGTAAATGTAAAAGAATCTCTTTTTTTTCGGACTACTCTAATGCTGTTGGCCGCAATTAGCCTTTAGCTTCATCGGATAAGATTTCAGGATATTCGTTTCTAGGTGTAAAATTGTAAAATATGTAATGTCATACTAGGGGAAGGGAGTCCCACAAATGTGACCAACTGTGACAAGGATAAAGAGGGAAGTAAATGAATCGTGACATCCATGTTTCATAATTTAGGGATGATCCATATTCAACTTGTGAAACAAGAGAGGAAAGACAAGACTTTTATTTAAAAAATAATATATTGTTTTATTCTGCTTTTTATTTGCTCTATTACTCTCTATGTACTATGTCACTTTCGTAGTTCTTCTAATTATAATATTTATATTTATTCCTGGTGAAAAGCCACGATGGGCTAATTGACCTGACCCCGTGCTCATCCTATCCCAGCCAGTTTAAACCGTTAGCGCAGGCGCGTGAACCATTCTATATATTTTCCCTTAAAATATAATATTATGTTGTTAGGTGGCTGAGAATCTCGCCGGGACTGGACTGACGTTGGAAAACTTCTCATTTTTCAAAGAGCCGTTAGGAGTCGATGATCCTGAGAAAGAGATCATACGGTAAGTTATGTTTTTTTATAAATAATAATTTAGATATGCTGAAAATGCTTATTTGTCAAATTTAGAAGCTAGTATTCTATAAAATTATTTAATATTTAATTTATAAAAACTTGTGTACAACAAATTTCCCTGAAGCATTCTGTTCTTAAATCTTTCATAGTATAAAATGTAGTCACTTCTGATGTCTGTTCGCTTATATCTATTAAACTACGCAATGAATTTTAATGGAGTTTTTAGCAGTAGATAGACTGATTCAAGAGGAAGATTTATATGTATAATACATGCGTGTTATATTATAGAAAAAACCAAGAAATTAAAGATTTCTTATCATTTCTACATCAAGCAACATCATAGCATCTAGACTGTATGATAGCAGACTCAGAGGATGTTTATATGTTTGTTAAACAAGTCTTTAAAAGTATTATTACTGTTGGACAGCGACGCAAAATTCATACGTCGCGTAGAATCTCCAGTAGCATCGGCCCCGCCGCCCCCCGCGGAGGGCAAGCGGACCCCCAAGCCCAAGCCGCCCAAGGGGGCCAGCCCCGAGCCGGCCGTCAAGTCGCCGCCCATCAAGCTTAAGGTATTTATTTATTCGACTGTTTTGGTGGTTTCGTTGTGGTTTAGCGGTAAATGTATCTTGATCGGATAAAACATAAAATTTTAAAGTACTATAGGCACTGTGAACTATATAGCCATGCACCAAAATTATGATAATCAGTGATTAAATCAATCATTTTAATACAATAATTTATTACATTCAGTGTACCACCATTGTCACCGTCCGAAGTACCTATCAGATCGACCGCAAGTTAGTTACAGTACAGTCAGCTTCATATAACATTAGTGACAGTGTTAGCAAAAATTAAGGAAAAACAAGTAAAAATAAGTAACTGATAATATTCAATTACGCATACTAATTTCACAAATTATTTAAAAAAATTATACCAATATAATATATGGTATATATCATTAACGGCCTCGGTGGTCTAGTGGTTTAGTACACCGCTTTATTTCCGATGGTCGCGGGCTCGATTCCTTGCATAGTGCAAATAATTGTATTTATAAGTATGATTGATTGTATCGATCTGGGTGTTTACTATGTGTAATGTGTATGTATTTACGAAAAAAAACTATGTATTTATATCAGTTATCTAATAACCATAACACAAGCTTTAGCTAGCTTAACTTGGGTCTACATGGCGCTGTGTGAATTGTCCTGAGATTATTATTAAAATCTATTTATTTACTTAAATATCTAACAAAATATATTGGATACTAGTGTGGTATATTAAAAAAGTATATGTGGCAACACTAGATTTGTAAAAATTATATATGAAAGGTTAAGTGAAAATAAAAACTATTATAATTAGATATTCTAAAATAAAGAGTGTAATAAAACTCCAATTTTATATATTCACTTGTATGAAAACACAAAGTTTTATTACACTCTTTATTTTAGAATATCAAATACATACTTACCACATATACTTTTTTAAAATACCACAACTAGCATAATGACTAAAAGTTTTTTTGTATAATATGTACAGGTGAAATCGTTGGGGTCACGATTGAACAGCGGGCCCACAGCTACGACTCCAACAACGACTCCTAAGCAACAGAAGAAATTGCAGCCAGCTCCCAGCGCGGATAACAACAACACTGCCGCGTGGAAGAAGCCCAGGTATGTACCTATATATTTATTTATTATTAACTGGGCCCGCGGTTACAGCCGCGGAAAAATTAAAAAAAAAATATAGCCTACATGTTATTCTGAGGCATAAGCTATATTACTATAGTTTCATCAAAATCAGTTCAGTAGTTTTTGCGTTGAAAGAGTAACAAACATCCAGTTACTTAACTTTCGCATTTATAATATTATATATTAAAATTTTGTATCGATCTGATTATTCATATATATATAGAATATATTATATGGTCCTTATTTACTATGTTTCCATTACATATAAGATTATATTTACGGCTGAAAGTTCGATAGGAAATTAAATTAGTGTTAAGATATTTATATGGTTTGATACATTTTCATAAATTCGTCAATATATAAATAAATTTGTTATGTTAAGGTTTATATTGTTTGTAATATAAGTTAGTATTGTATGTAGTTTGTAAATTTGAGATTGTAGTCTTGTATACGATTGTATTAATTGTTTAATTACATAATAATATTAGTATATTTGATGTTTATACAAATAAATATATGTACATATAAATATAATACAAATTTGTACATATTATATAAACGGGATTTACATAAATATACATTCAAAAGTGGAATACGTTCTTCTTGTAATGAGATGCTTTCCGAATGGGCGTTAAATTAAAAAAAGATAACTGGCTATTTCAAAGTAAAATTTAAATTTATGATTATTTGAATTAAGCACTTTGGAATAGTCATAAATTTAAGTTTGAATAAATAACTTCTGTTCTATTCCACGAGCTTCCAATATTTCGTTTATATAATGTAATAATTGTAAACGAAGAAGTTTAAAAGTTTTGGTGTTTATGATAGAGAATATTTTCACAAGTTCTGGTTAGTGTGTTCGGAATAACTTGATGTTATTTATTTAAGACTTCTATGTTCTTGGGATAGTTTATGTTCTATGGCCATTTAATTGGCTATCAGATGTTATTATTTATTATATAAAGTGTTATAGTTTAATAGAGATATTTAAACACCATTTTCCAATAAGCCAGTAACCAGAACTTGTGAAAAATGCATCTATTTATGAAGATTATGTTGATGTAATGGATTTGTTAGTATTATCCTAGAATTTGATGTGTAAAATGCATATTAATTATAATTTTACGTACGGACTGCAAGATCGATAAAAAGCTAAGATTAATGAAAACAACCAGTGTTGCCAACACAACGTCAAGAGGTACCGCTCTGCTGTTGCATCAATGAAGAAGAAAAGGTTAAGATTATTGTTTAAAATATGTGTACTATGTAATGTGTATTGTAATATTTGTCTTATATATTGCTTATTTCTATATTAGTGTCTGCACAGACGAGGTTCTTTTTGAGAATATAAAGGAGACATTTTCACACGCATGGATATCTCTTATGACACGAATAAGAGCTGCTAAGCAGTTTCCTTTGCAAGATGTGTTTCAGTGTTAGGATGAGATGGTAGTGAAGTTACATGGTACGGAAGCATGACTTGTTGCCTTGAAAAAAATGCTTCTAGCAGTATGGCTGTCTTATTACATTTATTAATGTTACAGTATATTTTTTCTCTTTTCTGTAAAATATAAATAAAAATATATTCTATCTATTTATCTAAAACCTCAGGAATGGTATCTCATAAGTGGTACCATAGCCGTCAATTGCTACATGATGATAGTAATGCTGTTCATGTATATAGGCTACGGTTACCACTTTTTTCTTATAATGTTGTGGTGGCAAACAGGCATATGTCATACCCACTTTGCATTAGTAGAGTGTTTGCCAGTTCACTTTTTCAAATACACAAATTTATTCAAATACAAAACTTTCAATATGAGGTACCTCCTTTGTAAATAATGGATAGTTCCTCGTGTGCGCAGAACACACATACTGGTGTAATAGTACAATAGCGGAGGGTTAATTGACCAGTGCAATTAACCCTCCACTGCGGGTACTGAGCCGGCGCGAGTGTAGTTGCGTGTGGCCAGACTGCCGCCGCCGCACCCGCCCACGCCGCCGCCCACCGCGGCCCCGCCCCCGCACACGCAGGCCCCGCCTCCGCCCCCGCATGCTCCGCCCACCGCGCAGGCCCCGCCTCCGCAGCCGCCGCCGCCTCTGCAGAGCCGGCCTGCGGTACAAGCCTCTCCCGACGCACAGGTTTGAGTCACTTTTATATATATTAAGGACAAAGGACATTCATGTAATCATAAGTACTATTTTTGTTTTTCTGTTCTAACTTAAAATTCATAGCGCTATTTGATTGAACAGAGATTAAGTGCGTTGTTAAGTATGTTGAATGTCGCATGCCTAATCCTTGTTACTGTAAGTCTAAATAAAACAACATTTATTTAAAAGAGCAACACACAAGTTTCTTGCTCATTCTTCTTGTGATGAGTCTGCATTCCGAATGAGCGGTAGAACACAAAAATGTGACTATTCAAAAGTGCTTATATTAAGTTTATTTGAATAAAGATTATATCTATTTTTTTTTTCGAACTATTCTAATGCTTTTGGCTGCATACAGCTTTTATGGTTTTTTATCTATCGACCTATTGGAAGTTATTCAATAAACTCTTGTATTCACCAAAAAAATTTTGGTTCTTATTATTTTATTACCCAGACTTCAAGGTTTTTTACTGTTATTAAGTAATTTTATCTTATACATAAAACTGCTGCTGAGGTTTTTCGTAGAGAGTAAGAATAAAAATATTTTTTTTGACTACTTTAACGCTATTGGCCGCTTATGGTTCGCCCATTATGGTGGCACTCAAACCAACGGAAGGACTATATGGAGCGGCTGAAGGTCAAAATTCCACCTGACAGCTACGACTTTAGTCTGACGACACCTTTAGGGTTACGAATTTTGGCCTCAGGTTATTGTAATTTCTATACTCGTTTGAATTGGAGTATCGATAGGAGATGCAAAGTTTAGTAGTAAACGATGTCTAATAATACAATTTAGAAATAATACCGTCTCTCTCAGATCAAGACAGAACAAATCAAAATATTTTTATTCATGCCTATTGTTTGTGATCCCATGGTTTCTTTTCGTTATTTATTTATTTAAAATTATATTGGATCTTGTACAATAGGCGGGCTTTTCTCTACCAGCCAAGATTTTAATATAATTTGTATGCTGTTTTTAATATTCAGATACTTGATTTCTTAGAACGCTATGTTTTTAAATGGGTATGGACACAGTTACCTATATACATCAAAATAATAATCGCAATTAAATATGCCCAGTAAGACAAACTCAATATTATCTACGGGCAACCGCGTCCCGTTGTCCGTGGTGATGCGACCGCAGTGCGGTATCGGGTGGTGTACGTGTAACGGTCCGGTAGGCGTGGTCGGAGGGCGTGTCCGCGTGCGCGGTGGGCGTGGCTGGCGCGGCGCGGCGGCTGGCGCGGCCGTGCTCGCTGACGTGCGGGCGCGGCGTGCCCACGCTAGCGTGCGCCGCCTGTCTCTGCCTGTACCACCCGGCGTGCGCAGGCGTCTCCGCCACGCAAACGGACCCCGTGCTCTGCAAGGTACGTCATATTGATACTAGATTTAAAGATCTAAAGAAAAAGTTCTCAAGTATCGTTTAGAAAAAGTCAGTAGGTGAGTAAGATACCGAGGGATATACTGGTATTTTCCTTCATATTCAAAACATCTGTTAATTGATTTTTACTGAGCAAAGCCTTACTCACTAAACGATTACTTGAATGACGAGCGTGCATGGCAATAGTTGTTCATGCACGGGATTTTTATACCTATATAAATATACATTATAAATAAGGAAATAAATGCCAAAAGAAGAGAAAAAATGTAAATAAATAATCCTAGACAATTAACACAATATCATCTAGTCCCACGGTAACTGCTTACCGTGGGACTAGATGATATTGTGTTGTACAAGAGTTGTCTTGTAAAAAAATGTCTAAGTATGTATATAAGTTGTTATATACATACTTAGACATTTTTTTGTAAATACATACATAGAAAACACCCAGACCGATACAAACAGTCATAATCAGGAATACCAATGTTTGCAGCGTGTGAGGAATCAATCCTACGACCATCGAACATAAATGGTATGGTAAACCGCTAGACCTCCGAAAGGCAATAATAAATATACAATAAAAAAGAAAAGAAACTTAGAAAGTTGGCAATAGAAGTTGCCTCAGCTATTGCTGAAGCAGAATTTAAATGAAGTGCATTCCAAAACGCGTCCGTCCTGTGTTATATAATAGACGTGCCCGGCCTGTGCAAGGTACTTGCACACCCGTCCTGTGCAAAGTACGTGCCAAAACGCGTCCGTCCTGTGTAATGTACTTCGCGTCCGACCTGTGTAATGTACTTATCGCACCCGTTCAGTACAAGAAACGTGATAAGACGCGTCCGTCCTGTACAAGATATCACTAATCAAATAAATCCAATATTTAAAGGACTAATAATATCCTTCGAGAGCCGACTGAGTTTCCACACTGGAGGTACAGTTCTCTCCCGTCAACAGATTCCTATAACAAATCTGCTAACGGCCTAAAGAACCGATCGCAAGATATAGAAATCAAAATAAATAATTTGATGATTTTTCCAGAATTGCCGCAAGTCGTCCTCCCCGCCGGTGGACCCGCCGCCGTTGCTGCACAAGTCGGGCGTGGCGGCGGCCGGCTCCATACCGGCGCCAGTTCCGCGCCGGGTGCCGGTTCCGGTTCCGGTCCCGGTGCAGAAAGTGCGACCGGATAAACGTGTGCTGCTGCGAATGAAGGTGAGCTTTTTTTCGGACTACTCTAATGCTGTTGGCCGCAGCTGGTCTATACAGCTTCACAGGACGATAGAGGGCGAGTGCAGATGGCACTCCAAACCAACAACTCCCGCCTGACGGATATGTGTGATGAATGTGTATGTAGAAAAAGACTAAGAAAGCTTCTATGAAAACAGCCTGAAACATTATTTTTTAATACCGAATAAAAATGCATATATATTACGTGTATTTAAAGTGTATAATA